CCCACACCTGGCATTTGTAAATTCTTTAACTCTTCTCCCCTCTCCCCCAGCTCCCCTGACCCCATTTTCCAAACCCATTTGGAAATTTTGTCTTCCTCTTTTTACCATTGGTTAATTAGGTTGGGGTTTTATTATAGTAGCACATGGCCTTCAAATTCATTCTGGAAGTAGGCAAAACATTGCCGTGGAAATGGAAGGCTGAATACAGTGTCTCTTGCTATGTTAGCATTCCAAAATGTTTAGAACCAGGATATTCCCAGGGAGCTGAGGAGCTGAGGGCAGAGCTAGCTTTTGGTTATTTTGGATGTTTTTGCCAGTTTCCTCCCAGGACTGTCATTACCACCTGATCATTTAAAATGAGTTTGAGGTTCTCTAGTATCAAGTTGCTGGCTAATGACTGACCAGGCAAGTATAGGGGTTCTCTGTTTTTAATCACTAGGAGATTAGTCCTTCTTCTCTGGCCCAAGTGCAGTCTGGTGATTCAGAACCATAAAGTGTAAGAACTGGAAGCAACCAGGTATCGTTTAGCCCAGTCTTCTCATTTGACAGTCAAATGGAGTAAGGAATTCTTTTGAGGTCACAAAGCTAGCTAGTGGCAGAATGAAATGAGAACCTTGGTTTCTTGACTGTCTGGAGGTCCACATTTATTAGTTTAAGGACTATTAGATCTTTTGAACTGCTCATTAAGCTTGCATTTTGCAAGGAGCATTGGATAGGAAGCTTTTTGCTATTACCTAGCTGTGTGACCTTTGGCAAGTCAGTCTTACGGAACCTAGTTACCCATTGGTAAAGGGAGATAACATATTCCTTACTTGCTTTAGAGTTTCTTTCCACCATTCCAGATACAAACCAGTTGTATATACTTCCATCTTTTTCTTCTAACTCATTTCAAAAAAAGACAAAGACATGAATCCTTCGGGCTCAGGCTGATCTCTTCACTCTGCATTGCAACCTAGCTCGTTTCAGCTGTCATGAAACTTGGTCAACAATCTCGATTTGTACCATTGCTTTTTTGTAACAGCAATGCTTTTGTTCTCCCATGGGTCTTTGGGAGAACAAACTCCCCTGGGAGTTTCTTTCATGACCCATCCTTCCTTTTCATCTGCTAGTCTTTCAGAGTTTTGACTTCTCTAGTAATTCGCTCCCTGACTGCCCAAGATAGCTCACTTTCTCTCTTCTTGGTGCCCTCCTGAACTCTGGGTAGTGTAAACTTCTGGAAGGTAGAGATGGTTTTATTCACTTTTGTATTTGCATCTAAATTACCGTAATGTTTAAATGCATAAATAAATGGCTTATGAGGTGATATATGTGAAATCTCTACATATACACATGTATATGTGCATACAGTGTTTATGTTCATGTGTATATGAATTCAGACTATCTCTTAACCTGTTGCAGAAGATTTGGTCTTTGGGAAGGATATCCTAACTCTGTATCCTGTCTTCTCAGCAGGCAAGGATCCAGGTTAATTGCCGTCTGGTCTCCTGTCAAGCTTCCTTACGGAGTGAAAATAAGCAATAGTACAAGGTTTAAAATTATGGTAGGAAAGAGGAGTTATGGTAGGTAGAACTGGAGTGAAAATAAAACTAGGGAGGAGACAGAGCTAGTTTCTGTGAGAAATATTGAGTTAATAGAGACTAGCTATAGAAGTAGAAATAATCTGAGTTTGTTTATTCCATTAACAGCAAAGTTTAAATGTAATATTCATTTTTCTTCATGTACTCTAGTTCTGATTTGGAGCATGTTATTCCCCAAACTGTCCTTTGAAGTGTTAATTAACTAGCCATTTAATTATTCTCTATTATCCTCTTTGGAGATTGGGAGCTACAAGAGCTGCTAAAGCCCTGAAAAATAATCTCTAGCCGCAGGGAAAGAGCTCCACCCTGTGATTTGAACTTAATATATAAGAATGGCTTATTTTAGACTAAACTCTAGAGCACTGCATCTCCATTTTAAATGTGTACACAAAGTACCAGATCTTGTTAAAATGCACATTCAGATTTAGTTGGTTTCAGTGAGGCCTAAGATTCTGCATTTCTAACAGGCTTTCAGGTGAGGCTGATGTGCTGGTTCACAGACTACATTTCGAGTAGCAAGTTTAAAAGAGAGAGCATCAGAAGAGGGCTTTTGAAGTTAACTCTGCATAGCTGGATTCTTGGTTATGTTGATGGCAGAAGGTCTTGTCTTGGAGAAAGAAAATACTCTGAGAAACACTTCTGCCATGTCCTCAATAGTTCATCCCCTCTTGGGAATCCTTGAGGGGGGATCACTGCATTATAACAATAACTGATACTCATGAAGATCAGTTGGAATTCTGTTCAGTGACTGTCTAAAAGGCAGGCAGGAAAGTATTGATTAAAGTTTAGGTACATTTTCACCAGGATGATTAAAATCATTATGTGGATAAATTCAACTACGTGGAACAAAGTCCCCTATGAGGAAATACTCATTCTTGAAAGATAAGCATTTATTGTAGTACTTTGCTAATAGGCTTTTTGAGGTGTCATCTGCCACTTGCCATCTTTATCTAGACCAGCACTAACATTCTAGGTTTTCTTTGGGTGAGAAGTATAAATGGGGAAAAGAGGCCTGACATTGAATCCTGTCTTTATTAGTTAGTGGTATCGAGACCTTGGCAAGTTCTGTTTCCCTGAGCCTGTTTTGCTGCCTGTGAAAGTCATATTGCCATTTCATCCCAGAATTTTTAAGTAGAGTATTGGTGAATGCTCTTGGCATAGTTACTATCCCTTTACCATTATTTTCTTCCTTCTTTGATCCTGGTAGGCAACTTGCTGTATGCCATTTGGAAATTAGTGATTTATTGACTTGGCTTCTATTGGTGGGAGGGCTGTTGTGAGGTGTGCAGTTTTTTGTTTTGGAAATTCCTGGAGCTCAGAGAGAGAAGCCAGGTATTCTTTCTTCTCACAAACAGTGGGGCTCCCATAGATTTTGTCTCTATACACATTTTATGTTAAACATACACTTATTCGTCCTGTGTGGGAAACAGTTAACCTGATTGGTGACTTGTCCCTGGGTCCCTTTCCTAACAAGTGGTCCTAATTTCAGGCTCCTGTGTGCTGTGTAGGTTTCTCTAGCTGAGGTGGTGGTAAGATTCCTCTGGAGTTAGGAGTTCAGTTTCTTTTGTTCTGTTAACCTTTCAGTTGTAGTGGCCTTGGTTTGGAGAGTTGTGGTTTGTCCTTGGTTAAATCACGCACACCCAACACGTGGCTTTCTTGAACACACTTTCCCTCCCAATTGTGCCTGACTGTTTAACTTCTTTGGATTCTAATCTCTAAAATCGGACAACTTGGAAAAGAGAATTCAGTTGCTGCTCTGTGATTGTTCCTGTGTCCGTCCCATCTCTGAGCAGAGCTTTGTTTATTGGCAGCCTACCTTCCATATCCTGCTGTTATTTGCTGAGACCTTGTCAAAACAATGTAGCAGACAACTGATTTGTTACTCAGCTTTGACTTCTCTGAAATGACTGCATTATCATTCTCATTGGTCATAAAGTAGTGTTTCCTAATTAGGTCTTAAACCTTAACTTTAATCTGTAGTTCTGCAACCTATTATACTTTACCTTTTAAATAGTACCTGAAACTACTTCTAACCAGTGACCTGGATTTAGGAACCTCCAGTTTCAAAATTGCTTCTAACTTGCTATGTGTCTTTTCGCAAAGAATTTAGCCACACTGGGCCTAAATTTACTTTAACCTGTAAAATTAGGATTGGATCAGTTTTTCAAATACTTCTTTATTGTTGGTTGGGGTGGGGATGGGAATGACAAGAAAGCTTAGTGGGTGGGTTCTTCATTCAGTCAAGATATACTGAAGGCTTTCACTATTAAATAACTTGGAAAAACTACTAGACTGGATGGTCTTTTAAGATTGCAAGGGCCAAGCCTTGGCACTGTAGGATCCATCCCTTTTAACCGTAGCATCTACTTTTAGATTAGACAAGGATACCTAAGCTGTATTACAAATATAGTTCCAAATGCTACTCTCCATCTAGTCTGGTTCCTGATACTTTGTCAGTCTTGCTTTGTCGCCAGACTGGAGTGCAGTGGCGCAATCTTGGCTCACTGCAACCTCTGCTTCCTGGGTTCAAGCGATTCTTCTGCCTCAGCCTCCTGAGTAGCTGGGACTACAGGCTTGCGCTACCATGTCCAGCTAATTTTTTTTATTTTTAGTAGAGATGGGGTTTCACCATGTTAGCCAGGATGGTCTCAATCTTCTGACCTCGTGATCTGCCTGCGTTGGCCTCCCAAAGTGCTAGGATTACAGCTGTGAGCCACTGCCCCAGGCATGGCTCCCGATACTTTTAACCGATGCTCTGGCCTGGCCATTCCCGTGGTGCTCGTTCTTTTCCTTTGGCTCATACTATTTTCAGCAGCATTTGTAAGCCTCCCTTCCCCATTCCATACTACCCAATCAAGACTCTAGTGTAAATGTCCTCTCTTCTTTCCTAGTTGGCCTTTTCCCAAAGTACATTTTCCACTCTTATGACTTAGTATACTTTGCTTTGGTGGTTTTATGTGTAAAGCTCAGAAAAGGGATGGACCTTGGGTTTCTATATATATATATATATATATATATATATATATTTTTTTTTTTTTTTTGAGACGGAGTTTCGCTCTTGTTACCCAGGCTGGAGTGCAATGGCGCGATCTCAGCTCACCGCAACCTCCGCCTCCTGGGTTCAGGCAATTCTCCTGCCTCAGCCTCCTGAGTAGCTGGGATTACAGGCACACACCACCATGCCCAGCTAATTTTTTGTATTTTTAGTAGAGACGGGGTTTCACCATGTTGACCCGGATGGTCTCGATCTTTTGACCTCGTGATCCACCCGTCTCCGCCTCCCAAAGTGCTGGGATTACAGGCTTGAGCCACCGCGCCCGGCCGGGTTTCTATATTTTAAACCACCCTAATGCCTTGCCTTGTGCTATACTGAAGGTAACATGGATTCAACACATATGGCTTAAAAACTCTTTTCTCTTTCAGGATCGAATCATTAATTTAGTTGTTGGCAGTTTAACATCCTTACTGATTCTAGTAAGTATCTTTATTTTGTGCCTCACCCAGGCTCTTAGCCAAAGTTTTAAAAAACATGAGTATTAATTATGGTTCAGTTAACTTCCCCCACACAAAAAATACTTAAAAGGGGCTAGGAGATGAGCATAAACGTTCCAGTCATAGTTAAATAAGTGCTCTTAATTTTATTACCACAAAATTGCAACTGCTAACTGGAGTAGCTAGTTTAATTTTCACACCCTCTCCCCACTGGTTGAATATGTGAAATAGTGGAAGTCAGATAACTTGGTTTTCAGATAATTCAGTTCACTATGTTTTGCCTAGTAGATCTGTAAAAATATCAGTGGCTGGTAGCCACTTTCTTCTGTCATACTCTACCGTAATTCCCCATTTTTGTTAATGCTTTATTTTATTCCTAAAGAACGTAACATCCATTACCCTTTGGTAAAGTTTAAAAAGACTAGGTCACAGTATATAGTAATTTTACTGTATACATCCTGTAAAATACAGCTGGAGCTATCACAATGAAATTCTTCCAAGCTGTATTTTCCATAATTTGACATTTTTTTGGCACATTTTCATTAAATTTAGGAGAATTTGTTTTTTCCATGGCTGCTTAATGAAAAGATTGCCTGTAATGCGGCATCTTCGATAGAAACAGAACCACATGATATTAGAAGTCTTTCAGTGTGTTTCATAATGTTTTAGAAAACCAGCTTTGATTATATTCATTTTTGGTAAGAATATTTAAAATAACAAAATGGCTAGAACTTTTATCAGTAGAATCATTAATCCTGGGAGTGAGGTTTAGTTAATGAGGTTATTTTGGGGTCAGCTAGTTTAACTAATGTTTTCTCTCCTTTCATAAGGGAAAGGTTAGAAAAGGAGGGCGTACTAAGATAAATCAAACATACTTAAAATTACTTATTACTGTACTACCATTCTAGAAAGCAAATTGGTGGCAGATGAAATTTTACAACGTGAAGTATTTTGTAGTATTGTGTTGCTTAGACTCCAGTCAGTAATTACCAGGTCTTGGAGTAACTATTAAGGCCTTACATAATTTCTCTTCACACAGGTAACACTGATCAGTGCTTTTGTTTTCCCTCAACTACCTCCGAAACCGCTGAATATATTTTTTGCTGTCTGCATCTCTTTGAGTAGTATTACTGCCTGCATACTTGTAAGTATCGTTGAGAATTTAAACAGAATGTTCTTGAAAGTTTAATGTTGCAATGCTTGGGACAGAAATTTTCAGAGCTTTGGATCTATACAAAAGGGTCTCTAATTATATCCCCATTCTCCCCCTAAAAGTATGTTAGAATTCTCAATAAAATGAGTTTCTGCTTTTCTCCTGAATCCCAAAGTTGTAACCCCAAAGAGAAACTCTATTCTCATGATAGCTAAAGGAAAAAAAATATAGTGGAAAGACTAATTTAGGTGACCAAAGATTTAATTCATCTTTACTCAAGGACTATATAGGGGCCAACAGTCTTGGGGAAATGCCAGTTACTGCTAAGTGAAGAGATAGAGCACTCTGGATTTAATTCTAATGATTACAAAATTAATCTTAATCTACATGTTTGTCCTCCACAGTGGAAGTATTAACACCAAAACCTCCTGGGAAATCTAAAACTGCAGTTGTATTATTATGATAATTGATTTACTTCAAATGTTTCTTTTCTGGTAAAGAAACAAGGATGGTGGTGGCACCTCAGTGTTCAATCATTCATTAGTTGGCTGTTGTTTTATGTCCCTTGAGAGGCAGAATCAAAGAGAAAACCCTTAAAAACAATTGTTTTTATCTCTTAAATCATAATAGTAATTGGCTTATCTGAGTTAAAAGTAAACCAGGAGACATCTCCAAGTGTTCTACTTCACTGATCCTGTTGTTGACTCCCATGACCTGAAAGAAGAACTGGTCCACCCCACTAACTTCAAGCCTAAAGTGACTAACAATGAACTAGTTTAATCCAATCCAACGAGTTTATATACATTATGGGAGCCCTATTTTGTATAGCAGTCTGAATCAACTGTATGAATCATATGAATCTAAATGTCGTCTTCCTTTACAGTTAATATATGTCCAGGTATATGTTCTTGAATAGCTTGCCAAATGACTGGTGGACCAATACAGGTTTGAAAACAGGAAAGTAAACTGAGAAAATAGGGATAAGTATGATCTTGGGTGTGAAAAACTCAGAGTAAGAATGAAATTCTGGCTGCATTGGTCTGAGGAATGTAGAGACCTCAGAATATGGAGAATGTCTCATTTAGGGGAATAAACAAACACTAATGAAATTTGAAATTGGTAGAGAAAATGTTACATTTTAAATGTTAATTGCTAATAAACTTTAATTCTTCTTCTTTTAGATCTACTGGTATCGACAAGGAGACTTAGAACCGAAGTTTAGAAAGCTAATTTACTATATCATATTTTCTATCGTCATGTTGTGTATATGTGCAAACCTGTACTTCCATGATGTGGGAAGGTGAGGCTGCCAAGGAGAAATACTTACCAGGACTCTTCAAAATGATACATTAGGACAGTGAGTAATTTTTGGATAAGGTATGCTGAAGAATCTCCTGCAGAAGTCTGATACATGATTTTCATGTTAATTGTAAATGTAAATTCCCTCTTGCAAGGGAGACATATCTTAGATCACTTTGCTTTTTAAAGAGCTGACGTTGCACCTAAACATTCCAACCCTTAAAGCTCAAACAGCACAAGAAATTTTCACTTTAGAAATCAACATTTTTATAATGTGATTGCATGGCAAAAGGCTATGTAACAAACAAAATCTTGCATTTTAAGACAAATATTCTTTTATTTTGTTAAACTGAATATACAGTTGTTCCCTAGGCAACCAACTTTTGCTTTATAACTACAATTTAATTTCACGTTAACAAAACAGACAGTCAAAAGACAACTTTGTGAAGATCTAATTACAATAATAAATAAAATAATTTATACAAGTTTTTTTTTCTTGACTTTTCTATAGGGGTCATATTCATTAAAAACCCAAGATGCTATCTTTGCCTTTAACCCTTCTGCAGTATAGGAATGACTTAGATTTGTTTACTTTTGTTATAGAAGTGAATATTGTTTTTTCAAACTGCCTGAGATGAGAATTTATATTGTACCCCGCCAGCTAACACACTAAATGAATGACAAACTATTTTCTGGGTAATTTATATAGCAAAATGTAATAAATGGTCATGGTATCAGAATAGACAACATTACTTCCTTCCCCATTTAGTTTTACTTAAAAGTGTTAACTTTGTAAACTAATGACAGCGGTTTCTGAGGGGGTGAAAACTGTTTAGCTTCTGGTGGGTTTTTTTACAATGCTTATCATATTCCCTTTAAAAGTGACAAAAAGCCCTGTAGTGAATTTTAACTCTTTTTAATGCTTTCCTCTTTACCCTGCCTAAATCAGCCCCCACTGCCAGCAATGGGTTAATCAAATGTGACCACCTCGTAGGTCTCTGTACTTGTATGCTGGTCAAGTCTCAAACTTAGTCTTCTTGAAGAACAGAAGATCACTGGTAAGCTCTAGACCATGTTGAAATGAACTAGAAGCAGGCTTACTTGAGAGAGAGTGTCATGTCTGATCTTTAGTGAAACTGTATTTTTAAAACCACAGCAGTTAAGCTTTTGTGATTTTAAACTTTTCTCAGTCGCTGAAGTGAATGAAATTCCCTACTGCCATGTAAATACTAAACATAGGGATTTATGCTTAAAACCCCCAGCCTCCACTCAACTACACACTGTCATAAAACTCAACATCAGATGATGTGTTTAAAGGAGGTAAAAAGTCATAGCAGCAACAATGTGTGCGGCTTAAGCACTGTAGCTATTTAAATTGGTAAGTTAAGCCTTTTGGGGGTTGCTCCTTTTCTTTGAAGATGTAATTAACAGTGTGGCTTGCCTGAACTGCCTTATTTTTAGGAATTATTCTAATGACAGTTTACCAAATCTTCAACATCCTTTGAATCTTCGGAAACAGGACTGCCCAATGATGATCCAATGATATTTGATTCTTCCTGATGATGTTGGAGTATGGGATCTGTAATGAGTTTCAAGTTAGTCTTAAATGTATATATTTATTCTCTAATCCATGTTAAGAATTTAAGGTATTCTACCACAGTGTAGAACTTTAACAAGACTAGTATCTTTCTTACTGGATCAAGAAAGACAACTGAATTAAATGTCTGTCTGATTTTTCCACCTAAAATTTATCAGGCACATAGTAAGTATCATATTACAGTACCTGTTAGTGTTGTCAAAGGCAAGACAGATTCAGTATCTATAACATCAGATGCCTGGATAAAGCCATGTGGTGAAGGAACGATAAGTATTGTTTCATCATCAATTGTTTGATCAACTTGCTCTTCTATAGTGGGAGACTCTAAACCCTAAATAACATTTAAAAAAAAAAGAGAGATTGACTCATATTCCTTACTAGTCTTCCTTAAAATCCCAGGCATGTATAGGTTAGACAGACTTAAACATAACCCATTTCAAAATTAGAACATAAAGAAATAAAAAGGTCTTACAGGGGCAAAAGATGACCTCACGACCTAACATACCTTTAACAAAAAAGAACTTAAAAGGACTGATTCAGTTATAGGTCAGCTGAATGTAACAGAAGAAACAACACTGTTAGTGTAGGATGACGTTCCTAGGCTGAACCATATAGCATCAATTACTAACCACTCTGAGGAAAATGCTTCTATGGGTTCTAACAACATTTCTCAATGTATTGCAGGTAAAGAGGGAAAAGTTTTAGTGAGCAGTGTGGTAATAAAGGAACGTGATTTTCTTATTCTTCCTCATTTCCACAGGATCTCTGCCTGCCCATATCTGCCAGCAACACTGTGAGGTCTGAGATAGGAGTCTGAACTGAATTTAGTGAGTCTAAAGATAAAAGGAAGGAAGCTTTTCCCAAACTGCAGGTTTTTGAGGCTCAAGGCAAGAACCCATTCAGTTGTTCTTTAAGTACAACTTACTTACCTCAGTAACGTAAGTGCTGGCTAAATCAGAGGGTGATTCCTCCTCTTGTTTAAGGTCTGTGTCAGAGATTTCTTCTTCTGTTCTGACCATAACACTATTCATCAGTTCTGTGCTATTTTGGTCACTGAATTTGGATACATGAGCATCATTAAATGATGGCTCCACAGTCATCTTAGGGTGATGAATTTCATCTGGGAAAGTGTCTGCTTCTAGGGCATCTGGAGGCTCAGGAAAATCAGATGACTGAATATCGCTATCTACTGTCAGTTCTGCTTGGGATATGGAAGAAGTGATGTCCTCTGTGGCAACAGTCTGAATGATGACTCTCGGTGTGTGACACTGCACTGTAACATTATCACTTGTGTTCAACAAATGTTCTGGCTATAAAACATTAAAGAACCTGTTAATCAAGTGACATTTATGGGGCTACCCCACTGTCTCCCCCCACATCTCTTACCTCTGGAACTGTAATACTTCTATCACTATTTTTCTAGAACCCTTGTACTTTACTTGCTAGGGCCTTTGTTCTCCTAATGTCCCTATTCTAATGTATATCCATCTTGAATAAAGAGAGAAGGGATGAGAGATACGCCCCTGTGAAGGCCAGAGTGATGGTGTAATACACAGTGCCTGGAACAACAGCAGTAGGAAGAATTGTTTAGAAAACTAACTTATATTTTGGTCCTTATCAACTAATCCTGGTCCATAACAGGTACTCAAAAATCAAGTAATTTATGTAACATACGGATAAAGCATGAACAATGATCTGTTCAGGAGAAGCAGGAGCCGCAGCTGTCAGGGTTACTGTGGGACTAGCGGTCAGAGTTAGGGGAAGGCCTTGGCTTGAGCTTGTTTGAAGTAGGTAGGTGCCTGGAGTGCCAGTGGGCTGTAGATGAAAAGACTAAAGGAAAAAGAAAAATAAGATAGTTTAACAATGATTAAGTCTACTTTTATATCCCAAAACAGGGACTGAGTTTAGTTTACTAGACACAGATGTACTTACCCATTATGAAGGTACAAACAAGTCATAACAGTGTAGGGCATGATTGTCTCAAGTCATTAACTAGCCTGGAGGTTTAAGAGGCTACTCTTTGCTCTGGTCTAGTCTCAGCTGTTTGTTTCAGGGTACCAAGACAGTTGTATGAACCACTGTTTCCAGTGCAGTAACTCACAACAACCCATCACCCCTCTTTTTCCTTTCTCTGTGGCTCATAAAAACTGGCAGTCCCGCAGTTTAAAAAAAAAAAAAAAAGTATAACAGCAGTGTTTACTTGAACATATTTTTTTTCAGTGTAATTTTAAGAATATCTTTTACAGAAAGGGACAAATAGTAATTAGCAATGTTCAGCTGAAGGAAAAAGATCTTTAACTATTAAATAAATTTTCTTTTGAAAATTTTAAAGGCGGCATAATAAAATTATTTACCAATAAATTTTTAACCTTTCAGTTTTTATGTAGAAACTATAAGCTTTTATATAAAAAAAGAGTTAGGTTTATCTTGATATTCTAAAATATTTGCACTTAAAATACGTCTACGGGTCAAAATTGTGTAGCCGGTTTTTTTTTTTTTAACCAATGTAGTCTTGTGGACTTAGCTAAAACAACTCTTCTAGGTACTAAATCCCCAAATACAGGTTTCCTTATTGCTAAAGTGGAGATAGTAACTATTTCTCATAGTTTAGAAATGATTATGAAAGTGCCTGGTACTCTGTGAGGACTCAATTTCTTTTCTTTTTCTATAAAAGTGAAAGCTAATCATTTTCCTAAAGGTAGCATATAATAATCACATAGGGTGAGGCATTATTATAAATACTTTATATGGACATGTATATATATATATGTTTTATTTAATATACTTGAATTCATTTAATTTTCACAATTTTTTGAAGTTGGAATACTATTATGCCATTAATAAATTAAGGACCCCATAAGTAAAAACCTGAACACATACCTCAACTCAAGTATGTAGGGTGTGTGTGTATAGTTTACCAGGGGAGTAGGCTTTTAAAAAAAAGTAAAATGAAGTTTTCTACTTGTGTCAAATGGTTCTTACACATCCCCATTTCATGGACCACTAGATTAGGAAACTGACTTAGGTTAAGTAAGCTGCCAGTGAAAGTTTCAGAGGGGGCCATCCTCTGGGAGAGGAAGAATAAACTCTTGTACTATTACCCCTGTAAATCTTGATTTAATTTCAGTAAAATTTATATTTTCTTAAATATGAATATAGGTTTAATTGTTCTGGAAAGCAGGGCATTCAGTCATGTTCCAATTTTATCCTATACTTTCTGATCTACAGATTTGCTTATTTTGGACATTTCAAATAAATGCGAGCCAAGTACTATGTGATACTTTGTCTTACCTGGTTTTGTTCATTTAGCCTGTTTTTATAAGGTTTATCCCTGTTGTACCATGTTTCAGTGTATTTCATCCCTTTCATTCCTGAGTAGTATTTGCATGACAATAGCACATTTTATCAATTTTTCTGTCGCTAGACATTTTGGTTATTTAATGCTGTGAACATTCATGTACAAGTTTTTATTGGACAGATATTTTCATTTCTCTTAGGTATACCTGAGATTACAATAGATGGATCCTTTGATAACTGTACTTAGCCTCTTCAGGAGCTACAAGACATTTCCAAAGCAACTAAACCACTTAGCACTGGGACTTTTAAATTTTGTATCCCCAGTAGCTAGTACAATGTTTACTGAATGTCATCAAAGAGCTCATGATTACTTTGTCCACAAACTTCTTCTCACATAACTAATATGAACTCTTTGGTTATTAATTATAACTCAATACAAATCCATAGAATGTGCATACTCATTAGCATTGTAATTTTCATATATATAAATAACATTTTGGTTTATATACAGATGAGAGAAAAGCTGATAAAAGTGGAAGTCTGCTTTAGTCTACCATTCATTTGGTCTCAGATTTTTCTATTTGTTTATATGATTTATAAAAGTGATACAACTGTAATTATGCATAAAAATGGCCAATATATATGAAGTATTACTCACTGGAAGAATCTCAAATGTCTGTAGTGTTCCACTGTTTAGTGTTATTGTTTCTGAGTCAACGGTAGCAGCAGGAGAGTCTGTTGAAGCTGTGTAAAGAACAAGGACAACAATAAATGTTTTGTAAATTTAAATTTCTCCAGTGTACTCCATTATTATGAAGGCAATTTAATAGCGAATAATTTGCCTGGAGACCTTAAGTCATTTATATTTCTTATGAGATAAGGAATCTAATGAATTTGTCTGGGGTGGCATATAGTGCAAAGGTGGGCTAACTATGGCCCACAAATCCAGCCTGTTGCCAGTTTTTGTAAATAAAGTATTATTGGAATACAATCACCCCTATTGCTTTATATATTTTTTTGTGGTTACTTTAGCACTATAACAGAGTTGAGTACCTGTGACAGACACCAGAAGGCCCACAAAGCCTAAAGTATTACTATATCTTTTCCTTTCTAGAAAAGGTTTGCTAACTCTTGGTATATACACATCATTAAGTGTTTCTAATGATAGGAAGTAAGAGGTACACACTAAGGCCTACCTGCAAAATGACAGAAACTTGGTAAAAACTAGTTTTCTTGTACATCTGGGTAAGCAGTGTGGATGTCTGGACTAGGAGTCCAAAAATGCTAGGCTTTAATTACTTCCTGCAACATAAACCTGGGTAAATAACTTTAATTCAAACTAATGTTCAGATATTTTTGCCTGTCCCACCTACCTCTCATACAGCGTGAAGATCAAAAGTCCTTTGAAAACAAATGTTAAGACAGCATTATTTCATAAGACCACATTTGGGAGACTGAATAAAGATCAGAGAGTATAATCTCTTTACATGTGTGTCAACTGAGGATCAGACTTGATCAACATCTGCTCAAGGTTAAATAGAACTTAAAAAGGTCATCTTTCTTGGTGTGTGCAGTCATACCTATATGTGGAATATGATTTGGAATTGCCTTTTAATGTGAAGTGTTTATTATAGTTTATTAAATTCTGTATAACACTTCTCAGCTGTTTGAAAGGAATCTAATCCCCTTATGAATAGAAATGCACTTGATTTGTATTATTCATCTTACTGTTTGATGGATCCTTAGGATCACAGCTATAATAATTAGATGTGATTCCAGACAAACTAAATCAAGGTTAGCAAACTACTGTTAGGGACAAATGTGGCTCAAGGCCAAAACTGGTTTTTACATTTCCACAGGGTTGTTTAAAAGACTATCCCTCAGAATACCTATGTGGCCTGCAAAGCCTAAAATACTCATATTTACTGTCTGGCTCATTACATAAAGAAATTTGCTGATCCCTGTCCCCTAACCTAAAAAATGAAATCAGATTTTAGTTAGAATGCCACAAGTAATAGGTGGATTGTAGAACTCTTACTATATTCAGTTTTCTTGCTGGAAGAGATAAAATTCTAAATACTATTTTAAAATGATGCTATCAATATTAAGGTATCATTTATAAAATGTTTGTCTTCCCAATGGGTATTGTCAACTCAATAGCCAAGGAATACTAACTTGCCCAATCAATTTACAACCAATAGTAGCTCTCATATTCACTTGGACTAGTAATTTCAGTTACTTTACAATCCTCAGATTGTAACAAAAACAAAAGAAATCCTTCATGCTTGATTACACTGGTAGAAAGATAACCAAATTCAAATTAGGACTTTAAGAGGTACAATTATAGGAGGTACGATTAGTTTAAATATCTATAAGGTAACTTTAACACTATATATCTATGTGCATTGATTGTCAAACACCAACATGTGGTTCTGTGATTCTCAATCAACTAGGGAATCATAATGGTGTATCTTGAAAAATGTAAAGTGTTTCAGTTTCTCGTAATAACTTGTAAGCACTACTAACATTTTGTGGACAAGATCGAAAGACACTGAACATCCTGCAATGTGAAGGACGGTCCTATAAAAACCTGTCACTCAAAATGTCAATAATCGCCTGCAGCGATTGATATACTCTTGGGTATCTTCTCAAATGCATATAGCATCACTTAGACAAAAAAACAAAAAACAAAAAACAAAAACCAGTGAGTGAAGAATATGGTTCTGAGAATTTCACCCTCATTCCTTTTACTGTCACTATAATTTAAGACTGATGGAAATGGATAAAGATCAATTTGACTTAGATCTGAAGAAAAAAATTTTCTCCTCACTCTTAACAATGGCTGGGGTCCCATAATCTCATTAAGTACAAACCTGACAGACACTAAGGACAACAGAGGGGTCAAAAAACAGTTTCCCATAAGAAACTGGCCTTTTACTCCCTGAAGAAAATCATTCTCAACCTTGCCAAAACTCATTTCTTTACCGTTCAGCCTCAAATCCATCCCCAATTTATATGTCTTCTGGTAAAACTGCTATGTATGACATACCTCTTGGTGAATTCTATTTCTTTGCTTGAATGACTGCTTTTTAGGTAGTTTTCTATCATTTTAATTTCTATTTTTAATAATTTCTATTAATTTAAAAATCTAGAATTTAAGATGGTTTTAAATGGTTTATAATGGTTGGGCAACTGGTTATATATTCCTCCTGCCATACATTCATTCTTTGTGCAAATATTAACTGAATTAAACATAAAATATCTTAGATATCCTTCAGTTCATCGACTTGGATACATTTCTATTAACATTCTAGAAGACCAAAAGATACCAGAGACATTAACCAAATCATATAGGTCAAATAGCAATGCATCTTGAGGATCAAACACTTACAGACATGGGTGATCTGGACTGGAATCTGCAATGCTGCCATGGGACTAGCAGAGATGGCTGTATTATCTTCCAAGCGGGCTACTCTTATCTGAACATGCTGCACACTGGAATTGGTATTACTGTTTGGAACTCCAGATCCTGATTTATTCTCCAAAAGCGTTGGGTTGTTTTTTTGGTTCTCATGTAACTGTTTAAGACCTTTTATTAAGACTGAAGGGAGATGGGTAGACAAAAAGAACATTGATTCTCCGAGAGACCACCATCTAAGCAGCATGGGAGGTGGGGGGAGGTAAGGAGGGAAAGTATTTGGAATAAATAATTGCATACTGAATGTGAGAGCTTATAAAAATAAGATACTCTAAAAAACAACATATCCTGAGATTTTTATGAACATTATCCATCATAACCAATTTTAATTAATATTGTTATTTTTGCCATCTAAGATTAATAATGTTTTTAAAAAGGTAGATATTGCAAAGAACATGGAAACAGGACATTTTCTGTTCCTAGGGTGTCTTGATAGAATTATTATTTAGGAAGAACACTGGCAATGTTAAAGAGCGTATTTTCATTTTTTAAATGAATGGTGTACGTTTTTCCTCCCAGGGTTCAAGGGCCCTTGACTGTGCGTCTAGAGGTAGCAACTGATCTTTTCCAAACAGTAATATGATGTTCTTGCACAGGGAGGCCAATTCTAGACTTTGCTCTATTCATAATATATGCCTATCCTCTACAACTGGATTTAATTTTTTTTTTGAGACAAGGTCTTGCTCTGTTGCTTAGGCTGGAGTACAGTGGCATGTTCATGGCTCACTGCAGTCTTGAACCTCTGGACTCAAGCCATCCTTCTGCCTCAGGCTCTTGCTCCCAAGTGGCTGGGACTACAAGCATGTGCCACCATGCCTGGCTAATTGGTTTGTATTTTTTTGTAGTAACAGGGTCTTGCTATGATGCCAAGGCTGGTCTCAAACTCCTAGCCTCAAATGATCCTCCTGCTTCAGCCTCCCGAAGTACTGGGATTACAGGTATGAGCCACTATACTGGCCTATAACTTGGTATTTAATTTTAAAAAAATCACATTTTCATCAAGCCAAAGTTCCTCAGTGTTCAATTTTCCTTTGGAACACAGAGTGTTACAACAAGGGGAATACATTTAATAACTTAAAGAGACTGTACAACTCAGTTAGTACCTAAATGCAAAACAGGCAACAAAAAGTATGCTATGCTTCACTTTAAGCAAACCCAATTTAAGATCTTCTACCTTTATATAATAAATAAAATTAGAAAATTAGCCTTTGTTCTACAAAATTGCCACACAATTTCTCTAAATAACACACCCAGTTATTTGAAATTATACTACTCACAAAAGTTGACTGAACTTAGGTTTTCCGAAGTACATGTTTGTACAAAATAAAAATAGTCATCAATCACTCAAGGGTGGGGATACATTCTGAGAAATTCGAGCCTTTAGGTGATTTTGTCATGGTATCATCAGAGTATAGTTACACAATCCTAGATGGTACAAGCCGACGACACACCTAGGCTAGAGGATATAGCCTGTTGCTCCTAGGCTACAAACCAAATACTGTAGGCAACTGTAATACAATGGCAAATATATGTGTATCTAAACATAGAAAAAAATACAGTAAAAACACAGTATTTTCATCTTGTGAGACCAATACTATGACATCTGCTGTTGACTGAACGGTTGTAAGTGGCCAGCTATGCTGGCTCATATAGGTAATCCAGCACATTGGGAAGCTGAGCTGGTAGCATCACTTGAACCCAGGAGTTGGAGACCAGCCTGGGTAACAGCACAACCTCATCTCTACCAAAAAAAAAAAAAATTAGCTGGGCATGGTGGTGTGTGCCTGTAGTCATAACTATTCAGGAGACTGAGGTGGGAAGATCACTTGAGTCCACGGGTTTAAGGTTACAATGAGCTATAATCACACCACTGCATGTCAGCCTGGACAACATAGCTAGACCCTGTCTCTAAAAACATAAAAATTAAACCATTATGTGGCATGACTGTATATGCAGATTTCATTTCCTCATAGTTTATATAGAAGAACAAGGAGGAGTGTAACTGTGTACATTTTCATTTTAGGAGCTTTAGGAATTACCAACCACATTAATTCTTCTCTGGGGAAGAAAACAATTACTGAGAGAAACAGGGCAGAAGTTTAAGTAGAAATCTGCTATGATACCTCTTCAGCTGAGGCAAAGAACTTCTAACCTCTCACTCCTAAGGAGTAAACATATTAAGAAAAGGGGAGGAGCTTAAAAAGCAAGTAATACATTACCAGGGAACGAAACATCCTTGTGGTTTGCAATTTGCCTTTTGATAGTCCACCATTTACTTCGTAGCCATTGTGGTGAACGGACACTACTCCATCCTTCAGCTAATAGATCCCAGTTAATGTCATTTTCATCAGCTACATCAAGTTCTGCTATCCTACAGGTTACAAAATAAGCATCTGTTATACGTTAATTTTTCTGTAAGAACCCCTCCTCTGACTACAGGTAATGGCACTGGCAAACAAAGGGAATGCCAGGTTATGCCAATGAGATGCTATTGTTAAGTTCCAGGAGTGCGGATCTGCTTTCAGAGCTAACATCTAAGAAATACCAACAGCAACATCCTTTTGTTAAAGGTACAACCAATGGGCTAAACCATAAATGGTTAGAACCAGATGAGGCACTGTGAAGGAAAAGGAGTATGTTAAAGGTTAATAAGAACAGATTTAGTTGTGTAGTGTTCCTGCAATGTTTCATAGTGTGGCATTTAATTAAGTCATTTATTTCCTGCATCTGAGTGTTTCTATTGTTAAACAAAAATATTTAGAAATGAGTTATTTAAAAAGATTCGTTGGAAAAAAAAAAACTGTATTAAATACAAAATCCAAAACAAGGTGACACAAAAAGCGGTAGGTGCAATCAAAAAATAACACGATAGTACAACAAAATTTGAGGTTTAAAAAAATCTGTTTTCTAGCTTTGTTGTGATGATTTGATTTTCAGTAAAGTAGCCACAGTGACAGTCTGTATTACCTCAGGGTCTTAAATAATTTCTTGCTAATTTTTGCCCATTTTAGTTAATGAGTCTTAATGGTTAAACCAACTACTTTAAAAAATAAGCTGGGATTATGATATCTTAAAGCTATTTTTGAATTTCTGTGAAATGGATGTGTTTGACTTGGTCGACTTTGAAGTGTGGAGGTAACTACAGACTAGGCCCCCCTTCTTGGCAATCTTAGCACAGTAGCCAGGGATTGAAGGGCATGGAGACTGAACAGCCCTCTTATCCTAAACGTGGTCCCCCTGGGCTAGTACTGAGGCACATTGGTGGGACAGTGGAAAAGCTGCACTGCCGCTGCCTGTGCCATACCTGTTCTGTGGATATAGAGAGGACTTCAGTCTCCACGCCTTCAATCTGGTACTTTGCACGGGCACTAAATCCACTAAAAAAGGAACAAACACAAAACAAAACATAAAAAGAGCTCAATATGAAATACTTCGGATCTTAAACAGTACTCTATGCCAAGGATAGTTTTTAGACTCTAGGCATCTAGGGAAACCAAAAGGGGAAAGTCTATCAAAACATCCACAGCAATTAAGTGGCTTTTGTCATTGTAAGATTCAGGACACAAACCTGAGGATGAGATTGATTTCATCTTCCTTGGTCCATTCAGTACCCCCACTCTGTTTCCAATTCAGGTAATTAAGCCATTTAGAACGACACTGCTTTTCTGAGCGGGTACCCACTCGTTCAGCCACAGCTGCCCAAGACACACCCTGTGTGACTATGTCACCTGGCTCAGTGCTTGTTAATTCATGAACCACTTCTGCGAGTCTCTTTTCTTCTTCTTCTGTCCACTTCCCTGAAAGAAGGAAATTATCCAGACTCTACCACTGCTAACTTCTTTTACAAATCTGATTCAGCTCCTGTATTTACAAGGACTGATGGGAAGTATGCAGTAGTACCAAGCATTTGTTTCTGAATGACCCTCTGGTGGGAAACCATATATATCCACTAAGACAGTTTCATTTTACGAGCCCAGTAAAGGTCTCAGTAGAAAAGAAAAGAATCCCAATGGAAAGTACTGACCAACTGTGAAACTACAAAGAAGAATGTACTCTCAAGTTACACTAAGTTCTTTATCTATGAATAGTGAAATGCGAAGAGCTTCATCAGTGGCGAATAAACAAGAAATGGCATGCTGTTTTTCTTACTCTCACCTAAGATTCCCTGCTCTGCAAAAGTAAACTAAGTTCAAGAGGCCATTACTTATAGGAATGAATAATGAGGGACAAGGCAAATAACACTAAAGGGCCCAACCTATTTTAGTAAAAACTCGGTTTCTACTATCTTCATTTCCCACTATCCCAACTCCAGCTACTGTGATGAAATATTAGGAAAGTCTGATACAAGTATTTATACATATTTTTATTACTGTGTTTCCTCAACCCATAAACCCTCTAATAGATAATCTCAAATGTTCTTCTTGGTCTTTTTCTTATGGAGCTAGAGCAGAAGAACAGAAAAAAAAAAAAATTTTTTTTTTTTTAAATCATCTTTACCTCTGTTTCCATTTTGTAATTACTAGCTAAAAACCTCTATAAAATTCCAAAAAGACTGTGTTTTTGCTTCGGGAATCCATTCATCTAGTAAATGCTTATTGAATTTTCATTATATGCTAAGCACAGTTCTGAATACTGTGGATGGATTCAAGACAAAGTCCTACTCTCCTATTCTAGCATGATGTGAAAGGATGGGAATACTTTGAGACTGTGCTGTTTCATGATGTGGCCTCATGGGAAGATGTCACAACATGAGAAGGAAGCAGGCAGATCTATCAATCCCTCAGGCTGGCAATCAGGGAATGGCATTGTGTCCTTCCAATTATGTTACCAAGAGGTTCTGTACTCACAGCATCTTACATGAATCTCTGATATCCTATCCTAAATCTAAAGCGTACAGCCCTGCTTCATTCATTAAGCTAGCCATGTCAAAGGATGACAAAGTTGGTGGAATTTATGTTCTCACTGCTTTGCCGGTAACAGTGATAGTGTAGTAGTTAAGCAGGAAACAGTTCTGATTTCATTTTATTAGAGCAGGCGGTTAAGGACACAAAAAAGTATGCCTTAGAAGCTAAAGCTAACCTTGAGAACTTTTTAATTGAAAAACTGGGCATAGATTGTGGATCTTTCAGAGAACATTACAGCTAAAAGGGCACTACAAGACCATCTCTTTGTTTTACAGAGGGAAGCGAGGCTCAGAAAGGTTAAATGACAGTTATTGGCAGAGCCTAAATACTGTTGTTGGTTGCAAAGATTAGGTTTAACACTATCATCAGGCCATTTGTATGCATTAAGAGGCATTTGTAGTCTTGCCTGGGGACTGAAACACTAACCATAAATTTTTTCTCTGGAAAAACATACTTTGAGTTTAAAATAAGCAAAATACATACAAATCTTTGGAACACAGCTTCTTCCTAATATTTGGGACTTAACTGTGACTAAAGTTTTTCATAAACACTCACTGATTAGCTGTTGCTAATGTAAATTCAACAGTTAGATGGACCTAAATTAAAATTACTTGCTGCATATTTGTCTTCAAAATACTTTCTCACCTGGGAAAGTACTGAAATAACTACAAAACTGAAACATGTTAGATCTGAATCATCTTGACACTAAGGTGATGTTGTGTCCCTGAAGACAATGTTACGTTATACAAAAACAAAGTAAAAGAAGGTTTGATATATCTAGTAAGCTCAAGTAAAAGGAAGACTAGAAATCTAAAGTCTGAACTACGGTGAATGATCTAAATTCCTCCTCCAGAACAAAAGAAAGGCAGTATCCTAAGGGGCAGGAGGCTTAAGTGGTGACAAGAAAACACTACCAGTAGCAGTCACAGTACCTGTGTTGCAAGTATCCTTCATCAGTCGGCACCGATCTTTGACAGAAGATGCACTTCTTCCTAGCGCCGCCCCTATTGTTGCCCAGTCATTGCCATGCTTTATCCGGAGCCTAAAACAAGAGTCTGCCAATCAGCATTTGGTTCAATTGTTTTCTCCCTTTTAATTTCATCATTTATTCTTCATTCTTCTTCTTCCCATTTGACTGGTTTGGAAGTTGTGGGCAGCAATACTTTGAGAGCCAAAGTTTGAAAGTGTGGCCTTTTTTTGGGGTCCACAGTTGTCTGTGGGTGAAAAAAAAACAGGCAGCAATTGCCTTTTTCCTGGGTCAGAGAAGAAATAAGTAACTTGGATATGTGTTCAAAAAAGACCAATTTCCCCTCAGGTTACTGACACAATCTCCCAGGCAAGCCCCAGACTTTCCCTTTTGAGCATATACCCAACACACTATTTAGACATCTAAAAAAGTTTCACAGGTCTTTATCATTATAAACAGAATCTATCTTCAATTTTGTTCATGATCCATATAATTCATTAAACCATCCTTTACGGCCTAACTCAATGAAGTAAAATTATATTTCCTGAGATTCAATAGACTTTGCAAGGTTGAGTCAGCCCAGATATTCACTGAAACATTTGGCAAGTCACCATTCTAAACTAAGCCATGTAGCACAATGCTGGTTTTGATCCTGGTATATAAATTCCCCAAATTTAGTTTTCAGGCAACCAAAAATGGCCCCTTAATCTCTTCTGGAACCCCTATTAGTGGTCTGAGGAAGCATCTGGTGAATGGCAATAGGAGACTAGATTTACACATTATGAGAATGGTTATTTTGTGCAAGTATGGATTTGATGTGATCTTTTTAAGGTCAATCATGCTTAAAAGCAGAATTAAATTATACCAGTCTGCCAAAAACCTCTTAAAATTTTCAGAGTAAAACTTTTAAGGACATAAGACACAAAAAAACAACAATCAGAATTAATGAAAAACTTTAAAACTTACTCCTTGAGCTTCTCAATTTCTTCAGGTGTATATCTAGAAATTCAGAGAAATTTTTAAAAAATCAGTTAAAACAACAAATACTAAAAACCTTAATAAAAGTCAGAATTTCATTTAGGGAGCTGAATGTTAAGTTACTTAGCATATGATAATAGTTTCAAAGTAACCCATTTTAAGTGGATTCATAAAAGTTGAGAATAGGCTGGGCGCAGTGGCCCATGCCTCTAATCCCAGCACTTTAGGAGGCCAAGACAGGCGGATCACTTGAGACAAGGAGTTCGAGATCAGCCTGGCCAACATGATGAAACCCCATATCTATCAAAAATACAAAAATTAGCTGGGCGTGGTGGCGGGTGCCTATAATCCCAGCTACTAGGGTGGCTGAAACAGCAGAATAGCTTGAACTTGGGAGGCAGAGGTTGCAGTGAGCCAAATCATGCCACTGCACTCCAGCCTGGGCAACAACTTACTCCTTTAGTAAAAAAAAAAAAAGAAAAAAGTTGAAAAATAAATGTTTCTATTTTTATTTTTTTTAAACAGTAAATATTTTTAGTTATAATAAAGACAGACTTGTAATTTTCTCTAGGAAAAAAAATCAACATTTAAAACATACATCTGTTCCCATGCTACCTAATACTTCCTTTATTGAAATTTAGGTTTTGGCACTCTCAAATCATAACCACTCCCCCCCCCAAAAAATAAAAAAGGTATGGACATTTCACATACTCTTGCTCCTTAGTTGAGCAGGCAAGTACTCAATACAGCCAATGCAATGTTCTTTTTAAAAATGTCCATTTAATAATTATGAAAGTCTGATCACTGTGTAACCATCTGTAATGCATGGAAGGTTTATGAATAGTTAACAACTCCTTTATGCTCCATTTAAAAATTATTTCTCCTTGTCCATTGTCATAAAAACATAATTTAATCCCCTTCAGCTTTCAAATGTACTTTCATTAGCAGGCTGCTGAAGAGCTAGAGAAAAAGCTGCACTAATAGCTCAGTAGTATCTAATAAGCCATATTACTGCCACCTAAAATTTCCAAACAGAAATTAAAAATAATGTCAGTAACAATATATAATCATTGCATTGAAAAATCTTAATGGTGCCTTCCCATAAATACAGAAATCCATGCATTGTTTCCAGAAATGTCATTCTTTTCCATTCTGGTTTTATTTAAAAAAGAGAAAAAAAGAAAAAAGGCCACTGACCTAGGAATGTTGTATTCTAAAAACAAATAGGAAAAATGTTACCAATAAATTTCAAGTTATTTTCAAACTTCTTAAATCTTTAACCAGTATTGTGCTTTTTATGTTATTTACTACAAAGCAGACTTTGACATCTTCAGTCAGCCAAGTCTTAAATCTAACCTATATAAAGTGAATTACAACCTAATTTCTAAAAGAGGCTTTAATAATAAGGTTTTACCATATTCACAACATGGACCTGGAGGATAAAAATATTAACAATAATTCATGGCTGTCTTGAATTAATACCTTGACCATAATTCTACTTTTTAAAAAATGAACAGTTCCTCAAGTATCTCCCCTAATTACATGAAAACATGCAGCATTACAAGTTTTCATACTTTCCCACATGGTTTCTGTCATCATACATGCGAAGCACTCTTCTATAAACTGCAAACAAAGGCCGGTTCAGACCCCATGCTATAGTCCTGTAGAAATCTTTTCTTTCGTCTTTTGACATCTCAAAGATGATTTCTGTAGCATCTTTTATTCCGCGTGCCTAAATGGGTTACATTTCTTTGATTTAGGGATTTCTGAGAAAATGCATATAGATATACTATGCTTTTAAAATTTGTTCTAATGTTAAAGGTCATCAATGGCATTTAGAAAAAGAATATATCACTAAATCATTAATAAATCAAATGTGAAGTTTTAAGATGTTGCAAGATATGTGACACTTAATTTGTTCCAAGAATAAACTATCAAATTCAATAAATTCAATTTCCATCAACTCCTTTTGAAATTATAAAAAATTAAAAATAGATCTAAAGAAAGTATAACGAAGAAAATCACAAGAGCAAAATCAATGGAATCCAGAATCAAAGCACAGAAAGGATAAACAAATCTAGAAATTGGTTCTTTAAAAATATCCGTTAAGATTAACAAAATCTTTTTATTAATGATTAAAGTTCTGTCAAAATTAAAAAAAAAAAAGACACAATACAAGAAATGGAAAAATGGTGCCTAAGTAGAGAGGCTGCAGAGATTAGACCAATAACAAAATAATAATATAGACAATTTTATGGTAATAAATTTGAATTTTGGCAAAACGAATACATTCCTAGAAGACCTCAACTTACCAAAAATGACTCTAGAAGAGATAGAAAATTGAATAGCTACAGACCATCAAGAAAATCTCATCAGTTATTAAATCATCTTCCCACAATAAAAACACTAGGCCCACATGACATGGATGACATTATAGGTAAATACTACCAAACAGACACATAATCTTGTTCTTAAACTATTCAAAAGTTCGCAAAAAAAAAAAAAAAAAAAAAAGAAAAAAAAAGAAAAGAAAAAAGTGGGTACATTTCTTTGCTTATTTTATCAGGCTAGGATAATCTTAATAGTGAAACCAGAAAACGACAGTTTCAGCAAAGAATTTTCAGGTCAAACTCATTCATTAACATAGATTTCCTAATAATATTTTAGCACACTGAACCCAACAATGTAAAAAACATTAATATGTCTATGTAAAAAAGTTTATCCCGGGAATACAAATTTGTGTTAATTTCAGGAAAAATTAATGTAATTAATCACATCAGCAGATTTATGGAAAAAACGTAAAATCTCAACAGATGTGGGAAAACCATTCATAAAATTCAATATTCATGTATGTATGATAAAGTCTTAGCAAATTAGAATTCACTGACAATCATATTTTTAAAAGCAAAAATGTAAAGACTGGAAAAAAAGAATCATTTGTAATAGATATGTAGAAACCCAAAAATCTATGAAGAAAAATTATGTGATTTAAAAAATAACTAATTTTAGCAAGGTTGCTAGATACAAAATCAATATGCAGTTATTTGCATTTCCATACAAAGTTTAAGTAATATTTTTAAAACTTCCCACACAGCATCAAAATTTAGAGCATCAGAACTGAGGCAAGTTATCTATGTCCTTTAAGAAGGAAAATATAAAACTTGACATTGAAGAGGAACTAAAATGAAGAGTTATACCATGTTCCTCAACAGAAAGATGACATACTATGAAGATATTAATTCCCCCCAAATTGATGTACAAATTCAACACCATCCAATAAAAACTCCATTTGAGTATTTCACTCTCTGCAAGCTGATTCTAAATTCATAACAGAACAACAAAGGGCCAAGAACAGCCAAGACATTTATAGAGAGACTGGGCACACTGGATACTGGGACTTCTCAAAACAGTGCTGTACTGGTACAGGTAATCAACAAACAGAACCTGAAAACAAATTAGAAAACCTAAAAACAAATTTGTGGCAGAGTGATTTAGGACAGAATAGACACTGTAAATTAGGAATTAGACATCTATACAGAAAGAGACACAATTCAAATTATATCTGACACCTACAGCAATGAAATGCAGAATTAGAAAACTTTTACAAAGTAATGTGAGAATGTCTTCATGCCCTTGAGGCAGGGAAGGATTTCTTAAACAAGGAAGCATGCAAAACAGACAAAAAAGATAATACATTTGATATTGCAACTAACAATCTTTTCTCATCAAATGACACCTAAAGAGAAAGAAAAGACAGGCCACTAAATTGGGACAAGGTATCTGTAATACAAATGACCAGTAAACCATTAACACCCAGCATACATTAAGAAAGTCTAAGTTAAACAAACAAAACAGGTAACTCCACAGAAAAACTGGTGAAAGACACAAACGGGAATTTCAAAGAAGAACACAAAAAGCTAATAAGCATATCAAAATGTTATGAGATAAACAAATTAAAACCATAATTAACACCCACTAAATTTGTACAAATGAATAGCAAAAAACTAAAAAAAAAAAAACCCTAATGACCATTAACTGAGAAATGGGTAACTTGTACATTTGTACAATGAAATCCATCTAAATAAAAGGGTAAGGATATTAAAATCATAATATTGAGCAAAAGAAGTTACAGAATATCCAGAGAATGAATCTCTTTATATAAATTTCAAAAACAGGTGAAATCAGTGTATGCATTTTATACACTTCTGAAGGTATGAAACTTCACAGCAAAAAACTTCTAAATTTTAGAATGTTTTCTAAAATTATTTCACTTATGCATTTCCAGTTTTGCAAATGATTTAACTTAAATATTCACTGAGCTACTACATGCAAGGAACACTGTGTTGCAGGATGACCATATAGTGAGAGAAAAGATTCTACTACCTCCAAACTCCTTGCCCTTTTTCTTGTGGAGTTACTCTCATTTATCTTTTTAACCCAAAGATAAAACTTATGACATCAAACTAATTGGAATTCTCTGAAGTTTAAAACTGGTTCTACAGAATTCTTAGAAGAGCACCACATAAAACCTATGGTCAAAAATAAAAACTGAACAAATTATCTTTTTCCAAGATAATTTCTTAGACATTTCCTATTTCTGCCAATCTAATCATCATTCTCCCAGTCACCTAAAATAGAAACTCTTAAGTCGCTCCAATGCCTTTTCCTTCTTTCCCAACATTTAGTCACCAGGCATCCTTACAGACTACTTGGTTACCTGCCCTTTCCCTACCAATTCTATTTCTACCACTGTAGATTAAGTCCTTTGCCACTCTCAGTTGGTCTACTTCAGTGCTCTAAAAGGTCTCCTACTCCCTTCTGCTCATTAATCACTAAATTGGAAGGGTCCTTGGAGATTATCTACTTCAATCCCCTATATAAGAAACCAGCTTAATTCCCGGAGTTCACCGTTCCTTGGCACTGGTTACTGCTTTATCTAAACTAACAGCATTTTCCAGGTATAACTAAACCATATGTGACTAGTGGACAACTTAAACACACTTCTGGATTCACTTTCAAAGGCCACTGTATTTGTTTCTCTTAAAACAACAAACGTGGTGGAAAAATCTCATTAGTGAAGAATTAAAGTTTTAAAATTCTGCATTTCACAAAGGTTAGCTTGGGAAGGTTGCAGTTAAAATTAAACTTCAAAATGTGCACCTTCTAGGCAGCATTGTATTTCTACATTAGTGTAGCGTGGAAAATAGTAAGCAATCGATTATTCAAATGACAGGAGAAGGTATAACATCCTTCCTTAAATGTGTTAATGGTCTACATTTCAGACATAACACTATTTGAATCTAACTCCATTACAGAGATCATCAGCAAGTCCCTGGAAAGATTTCCTTGAGAATACAGATCTACCCCACCAATTTCTTACTCAACTAAACTATTAGCTTTTCTTAAACCCTTTAATAGCTTCTCATTTCCTATAGGATAAAGTTCTAATTCTTCAGCATGGACTTCAAAGCCTAGTTTTCCAGAGGCTACTTACTTAGTTCAAGGTAAAGGGGTTAATGTGTGTTGGTTTTGATCTTTGATTTTTTGCTACTTCAGCATGCATTCATGTGGTTCGCTCCGGTTCTGCTCTAGCCCAAGTTCCACCCTTTTAAGACAGCTCAAATCCTTGCTCTTCCAAAATTTCCATAACTGCTCTAAAAACTCTTTTTGTAAACTTGCACAGAACTCACATGTACCACTCACATGATACAAAGCTTTGTATCATTCCTCACCTGTTTCCAGCCTGCCCAAATGGATCACTGACTTTAAAGGCAAAAACTGTATGTTAAAGCAATCCATGCCTTAATGCAATCCAATACTTAAAAACTACTGTGTTCGAAGGATGTTAATGAAGCGTACTAAGCTAACGAGAAATAAACCTGAATAAGAAAATAAACTAAATTTTTATTTTTTTAAAAGGGAAGGGCTGGTATGACATCAAAAATTCATTCGATGCATACTTTAGCCAGTCATGGTGGCTTACCGCTGTAATCCCAACACTTTGGGAGGCTGAGATGGGCGGATCACCTGAGGTCAGGAGCTTGAGACCAGCCTGGTCAACATGGTGAAACCCCCGTCTCTACTAAAAATATAAAAATTAGCTGGGCGTGGTGGTGCATGCCTGTAATCCCAGCTGCTCGGGAGGCTGACGCAAAAGAATAGCTGGAACCCGAGAGACAAGAGTTGTACTGAGCCAAGACTGTGCCACTGTACTCCAGCCTGGGAAACAGAGCAAGACTCTATCTCAAAAGCAAAAACAAAACAAAACAAAGATGCTTAACTTAAGCTTTAAACAACATGAATTAAACTCCATAGGCTTCTTGAAAAGATAAGGCTTTAAAATGTTGAGAGGCTATTAGGATTTTATCTAAACTTAAGGGTGGTAACTAAAGTAGCAACGCTATTTTAAAGTGAGAATTCAAAATATTATTATACTATAATAACCAAAATATTATTATACTATAACATGTTTTACAATTATTCAGCTATGTTACCCAATCTTCCATTACAAAATAAGTAAAAAGCTCCTAATAAGTACATACAATATGCTGTGTCAATTTCTGCAATTGGCAATAAACAAATTATTGAAACATAAAAATTTGTTGTGAGATACCTTCAGATAGCGTTCAATATTGTTCATCAAAATATCAATTTCTTCTTTGGACCACATCCCCTGCTTCCATTTATGTCCTTTAAAAGAAAACAAGCAATGTTATAAAAAATGTTACTCCTTGAAAGAAAACAACAGATTTCCTTTGTGATTAAACTATATTTGGGGATAAAATGTAGCTAATTTCATTTCTCATTCCTCTGAAATCTAAAAGGTCTCTAGGTAAACTTGCTTTTGTAACCTCCGGTTTTTAAGCTAGAATACATTTATTTGACCCTACTAAAAGACAGTGGTAATTAAAGATTTTAAAACTATTATCTCTCAGCCTTTCAGCAGTACAAAACTGCTAAAAAGAGATGTATAAAAATAAGAAAGGCCAAATCATGCTCAAAACTTTTTGAAAAATTTCTCCAATGAAAATTGTATGCGCCGAAGAACATATACAAAAGACTCTAGGGCAAGGTAAATATTGAATACCAAGTGAATACTGTATTCTTAATGAGTATTTACTACACAGTGGTTGAAAATGATTTACGTTTTTCTGCTTCCTTTTTGTCCTTCAGAGTGGCATAGATACAACCCTCACTTTTTTTGTAGCAGCTTCCCCAGCTATGCCTGAGCATAGCTAGGACTATGAACACTATGTTACCTTGAGCCTCTAAGCCACTTATCAGACCAAAGTTGGCAGACCCTTGAAAAGCCTTGACTTCCTACACCCATAAGCAATAACTGTATTGTCTTAGATGACACCATACTCATTTGTTCAAAAATTAACAAGACAAAATTTACTTCAAATCAGAAGGACAAAAATAATTACTGAAAAACAAATGGTAGTTTCATAACCTTAATTCAAAGTCATTCGGGGTCAAATTTATTTCAGTTAGAAAAGCTCAACTACTTTAATTGCTCAATCCCAATGACAAAGGTCCAATTCAGAATCTTACTGACTATAAGCCCTCTCTATCTCCATTTTTTCCCACTGGGCACTAAAATTCACAGTATACCTTACCTTTATTAGTCAGAGAATCCTTATCTTCTTTAGTTGTAAACCATGCTTGGCTAACTGCTGAAACTTCCTCATTACCCAGAGGAGATATTTCATCTAGTTGCTCATTCTGCAAAATCTTGAAAAGGGAAAAGTGAAAAAAAAAAGGGGGCAGCTTGATTTAATGCCCAACCTGATTCATCTTGATAATGCTAGGCATTATAAAGTTTTAATACAGTAATATGGAATTCACTTGGTTTAGATATAGTAAAAATATATTCAATATACTCAATCTACAAAAAAAATTGCTTGCTGTTTTTATTATAGCAGTATGAAAACAAAATTATATGCATTAACATAATACGACCTTCATTTAAGCAAGTAAATGTACTATGTATAAAATGGGCCAAGAGTCCATTAAGTATTTAAATCAACATAGAATATTCAGGAAAATTTACATATTTACATATGTAAATAAGCTCAATAATATACAGCTATCTGTTCTAGATAGGAAAATGTAAGTGCTAGGGTTGAGTGTTATGATTTGTTAACACCCTCAGAGATAAGCTTGCTGCCTAAATCACCAATGATGTAATCTTTTGCTTAACTTAAAAGATTAACAGGCTAAATCATAAGTCATTATTGCAAAATCATGGTCTGCATATTGTTTTCTGACAATTTTGTTTTTGCCAACCTCTAGAGCCTAATTAACGTACCTTCCTCTCAAAGAACTGCATGGTATTACTTATTCTTAAAGCAGCTAAGTTTTCTGTGCAACTACCACCAGCTACATTTTCAGTTACAAAATCTGCTGGTCAGTAGGGAGCTGCCTTCTTGACCCTGGCCTGAATGGCCTGAAGAGAAATAGAAAGTATATGAGGAAGATCTGGCAAAAACAGTGCTACCATATCAGGTAATAGCCTGTCATGGGCAGAAGAAGGGAAGAGTCACATGTTTAGAGACCACTCAACCTAATTCAGTCTCTAGGCTAAAAAAAACTAAGCAATGTCACTGGCTGAAGGTAAATCCCAAGAAGGACTGGACTAATACTACTTGAATAAGCAGAAACTGAACTTCTAATATGACAAGAAATTGAAACCCATCTCTCTTGGAAAGAGATAAGCTGTCAGGGGACAACCAAGGTACAATTAGAAGAAAAGCCGCATCTCTAATGTTGCCTACTTTATTTTTATATCTGGTGGTAATACATACAGTGTTTTTTTAAAAGTGTTTTTGAAACCATGGGCAAAAAGCTGGAAATTACTGGAACAAGTGTGAAAAGTTTTTTTTTTTTTTTTAAATCAAGAGAGACCTTTATAAAGCTAAGAATTGAGACAGACTAGATGTGTCTAAGGCTTTTTATATTCTGAAGATTACAATTTTATAAGATTTGTTGGGGTCACCCCATTTTTGGGTGCCACTATCGGGAGTCTGTCCTGCAGACCTTGACTCAGCGATGGATAAATAAAGTACACTTGACACACAGATGTTATGCTTCAACAGTTTGGCGGAGGATCCCCAGCCTCTTTACAGATACTTTGCTGCCAGTCTTCCTCAGCCAATGAGATTTGCATTTATTTAGCAAAGTTTAATTGGCAAAGCCCAAGTCAACACCACTAGAATGAAGGCTAAAGCACAGGTTATAATGCTTAAAGCAAATACCATTAGAGGGTAATTTCTTTGGTGAACCTTCTCCTGAGAGGACCATCTGGCTCAAAGGTTAGTTTTCAAGACCACACAAGTAAACAAGTTATTTAGGTAAATTCCATATACTTTAGCTATTTGCTTTACTTATTAACTAAATGTAAAGGGGATTTAGGCTGCCTCCAGCTGAAACTTCTACTAAAACTGTGAAAAAACTTTCAGCTTTCTAAAAGAGTTTGAGACTATATTCTGTAACTTTCTCTACTGTTTTTCCTTTAATATTTTTTCCACCACCTTGAGTGAATTCCTGCAAGATTTGATCCTGGAGTTATACATCAGTAAACAGTATAACAGAGAGCTATCAAAAGACCTTGATACATATTCACTTTTAAGAACTATAATGTAGGAAATTCTCTTAAATGATCATCTCTTAAATTAACCAGTTGGATATAAGAATCAAATCACCACTCCTCACAGTATGTCTACATAGCAGAGCCCATTCCATGAACCTTAGAAATAAGTATGTGATGCTAATTAACCACTATTTTGGGGTAAACACTTAATGACTTATGGCTCAAATTTTCCCTATGAAGAGTTACAATGATCATGTAAGTACTGTAGTGTCTTTAAACATGGCTATTTAAACATTTAAATAGCCAACAAATGAGCAAATAATTATTTGGCAGTAGGTATCAACACTGTCAATAACAAGTGAGTTCAGGGAGTACAGCAGGAGACTTAAGTACCTTGAAGGGTATTTATATACCTATCTATACTTGTTATATAAATATTAATAAGCTTTACAGTATTCCTATATTTTACTACTTTATGCATCTATTAAGTTTACTCAGCTTTATGTAGTATGCTGTTGCTTTTAAAATGAAGCTTTTATGAGTTGGTTGCAGGATTTCATGTCTATAATATATATAAGGCTTATAAATCTAAAATATTCAGCTGACTGAAGACCTCTTACAACCGCAAAGTGCTATATATAGAGACTTACAATAGTTTCTAATTATTTTCCAAGCTAGTCTCATTAGTGGAATGAGACACAGTATATTAACTGCCAAACTACGCCAAATAGCTGCAACTGGTTTATAGCAAAGATATGGTCAGAAACACTATTTCTGAACTTTTAAACCATGCTGACTTTCAACTCACATCTTGTCCATTTTGTGTCTATAGTTAATCTTATTAAACAAATATTAGAAATTATGAAAAGTTTTTTGTTCACTAAAATGGTGATAACAAACCAAGAGGCCAAATATTAAATTATAACTCACTAACTCTTTGGCAGTAATCAAAACAAAACAACTTTATAATTTGTTTTGTAGTAAGGGCCAAAGCTGGACACAGTGGCATGTTCCTGTAGTCCTTGCTACTTGGGAGGCTGAGGTTTCTCATCATTTTATCACCTAAGCAATGTATAAAGGATCATCCTCCCGAGGCCAGTTAAAAGATTTACTATACCTGGATCTGTGTCACAGTCCCCTCAGTAACCTCATCATCTGCCACCTCCGTGGTCGCGGTCATGGTCACCTCAAAGCTCTGATCATTTTCTGAAACTTCAAGAAAAGGAACAGTTCATCTCCAAAATAATAATTGCAAATTCTGATTATTCTAAAAATATCTATGGGGAAAAAACACAATCACCTAATTTCCTAACACACTCCTTGTTAATACATCTTCACATGTATATATTCATTTGCTTAATAATACTTAATGTGCAGCTAATTCATAGTAGGTATTGCTCTAGGTGCTGGAGAAACAAAAATCCTTTCTTCTTGGAGCCTATATTCTAGTGGGGAAAGACACAAAATGACAAGATACTATGTTGGATGGTGATAAGCAGTGAGAAAAAATAGAACAGGAAAGAGAATGTGTTGGGATGGAGAACAGTATTTGAAATTTTATATAGGATCTAGGAAAAGTGAGAACAAACTGAGGATGGAAGATAGTTTTGTAGGTGTCTTAAGGAAGACCTTTTCAAGGAGAGCCAAGTGCAAAGGCTCTGAGATGGGGCATGCTTGGAGTGTTCATGGGAATAGCAAGGAAGCCAGTGTAGCTAAAACAGACTAAACAAGAACACGCAGGAGATTAGGCCTTCTAAGCCAAAAGGTTTTGGCTTTAACTCTTAGGTGGGAAATGACTGGAAGATTTTGAATAAAGTAATCTTTTATTGTAACAGGCTCACTCTGGCTGCTATAAGAAAAACAGTCTGAAGGGCAGCAAGAGTTGGAGTGAGATCAGTTAAGAAGCAAATGCAATCAAGATCTATCAGTGGCTTGGACTAGGGTGAAGGCAACTGAGAGTTCAAATTGTGAATGTACTTTGGATGGTAGAGCCAATATGATTTGTAGACGAACAAGAGATAGAAGAGACTGAAGACTGAAGGGTAACATTAATTTTTTTTTTTTTAAATCAAAACTACTGGAATACACTTGCTACTAATTAGTTGAAGAAGATTGTAAAAGAAGCAAATTTAAGGATTTAGGAAGTTATAGAATCTCTACTTTAAACACATTAGTTTGAGACAACTACTATATATTTAGAAAGTGAGAAGTCTGGTCTGGAATAAATATGGCAGTTAACACCAGATAGTATTTAAAATCTCAAGGTGAGATCACCTAAAAAGTGAGTAAAGAAAACAAAGAAGCAGTCTGAGGACTTAGTCCTGGGGTGCTCCACATTTAGAGGTTCTGGTGACATGGAAAAGTCAGCATTAGAGACTAAGAAGAAATGGACAGAAAAATAGAAAACCAGAGGAATGTTTCCTAAAAGTCAAGTGAAAATGTTTCAGGGAGGAGGAATAATAAATATTGTCAAAAGTTTTTGACAGATCAAGAAAGGCAAAGACTAAAAAAGTGGCCACTGAATTTGGCAACAAGAAGGTCTTTGGAGAGCTGAGAAAAAGAGTTTAGTTAAGGGGTGAAAGCTTGACTGTATTAAGTTTAAGGAAAAATGGAGGAAAGGAAATGAAGGCAAATATAGGTAATTTTCAAGGTAATCTGCTCTAAAGACAAGGAGAAAAATTGAATAAGGACCAAAGGTGAGCTAAAGGGACTTTTTATTTATTTAGACAGGATCTTGTTCTGTTGCCCAAGCTGGAATGCCATGACATACTCACAGCTCACTGTAGCCTCAACCTCTCAGGCTCTAGAGTTTCTCCCACCTTAGCCTCCCTAGTAGCTGAGAATACAGGTGTGCACCATTGCATCAGCTAATTTGTATTTATCGTAGAGACAGAATTTTGTCATGTTGCCCAGGCTGGTTTCAAATTCCTGGGCTCAAGCAAAGTGCCTGCCTTGGCCTCCCGAAGTGCTGGGATTGACCAGGAACTTTTTATTTTAAAGAAAAAGTAACAGTACGTTTGCAATACCAATAAGAATGATTTAATATACGAAAAACTGGTGATACACAAGAGACAAAATAATTATTGGAACAATGTCCTTGAGTAGGTAAAGGGGATGTGACCTAGTAAATGGAAGGATAACAAATACATGAACATAGATGCAGGCGGGTATATAATTGTGGTCGTGGCAATTTGTAGAAATTATTTTCTGGTTACTTCAATTTTCTTAGTGAAGAGGAAGTAGGGTTACTAGCTCAGAGTAAAAAGGTGGAAGAGGTATTCAAAAGTTTCAGGAGCTATGAAACAGTCATCTCAGAGTGGGAAAAAAAAAACACTAGAAAACTGGTGTTACTGGTGGGCAGCATTAGGAGCCCACTTCAGGTTAATGATCAGGAATTAAAGTGAGAATAGTCAGCCTGCTTGTGCCAGTTTTCTCTAATCCTTTTCAATTAGCTGCACTGGCACAGACATAAATAGGCAAAGACAGATTTAGACAGTTATGATTTCACCAAACAGTGAAGTAAGAGAAGAACAAAGGACTTGGTGAATGCAAGACAGTGATTATAGTGATTATAATGATTAACCATAAAAGTGAAACAGGGTAAAAAGGAAAGAAAAGATACAAACAGAGAAGGAACAATGAAAAAGTAATAGGATCAACAGGTCCCAGTGAGGCAAAAGACTTCAGGAGTTCAAGAGTACTACAAGAAGTGAGCTGGAAAGATAGAAGTAGTGGTAGAAAAGCAAGTCTGAAATAGATCACAAATAAACTCCAGAAATAGGTAAGAGTGGTAAAGGCAGTAATAAATGGAGAACAAAAGGAATAAGTGGTTAAGGTACTGAAAGAATCACCTAGATGAATACTGTAATCACCATATAGAAATAACTACAAATAGGGATTTAGATAAATGTAGTGGCAGATCACTACAAAAAGAAGTGGTTAGTGAGTTAGAATGATTAATATGAGTTAGGCTGATGTTGTGAGGATTGTTATGATCCAGACAGATAAACTGTATCAGTCTTATTGCTAAATATTATGCTCCAGTGTGTCTTCCATATGTGATGATGCTATGACCCGTCATAAAGCAGCTCATGTGCTTTCATGTCAACCTATCTCTAGTATCTGAAGCTAAGTGAACAGTGCCCTGAAGGATTTGGTCACACCATAAAATAAAACAAAATACCAAGTATAGTTTGAACATATAATCATGAACAAGGCATTCCACTTTAACCAAATGAATTGGTTAAAGTCAATTTGTATCAAAATAGCCACTTAAAAATTCTACTTTAGAAAATACTTAGGATTACAGCTGTACAGAAAGGCCAGTTAAGTTTTAGAATTGAATTACAATGTAATAAGTCAAATTAGGAAAGATTTAAGAAAACACAGGAATCATCATTAGAAAGAAAGAATATTTAATTATAAATACGTTATGCTTGGTTATGCCACAACTGGAAGTAATATTAACACTGTTTTTCAATAAAGTCTAACAGTAAACTAAGTTTCTTTTCTGTTTAATTTAGCAAGCAAATTCAGAGTACATATCTACTTGTTAAGATACGATTTTCCATGCTCAAAACCTAGTCTTCCTTTTTCAAAAGATGAAGATGTGATTTTGCCTGATGTTCAGTGTAAAATCAAAGTTCTCAGATATGGCAAAACCCTCCTTTGTGCTAAGAGTGCCACCAACACCATGTGCTCCATGCCCACTGCCATGGATTAAGGCATCTACTCCAGAATCTTCCTCAACACTCCAGACTCTTGGCTAAGCAAATCAGAAATACAATGTAATGTTGCAGTTGGTATGCTGTCTTGTGCCAACAGTATTACACTTGAGATATTATACCTCCTATAGAATCCAGTCTACTTTAAATGATCTTGGAATAGAAACACATTAAAAACTTTCTCAGCAAGAATAAACTAATTAGGGTTCTATCTAACTTTCATGTTATCATATTGCATACTGAATAGGCAATATGGCATTGGGGTTAAGAGTATGTACTACAGGAACCAAAATGCCTAGAATGGCTCTTAGCCAAGTTATTATAATTTTCTGTGTCTCAGTTTCCTGACTTATAAAATATAAATAATAATGTTAGTATCTCTTATAAAGCATGCTTCCTCTATGAGGGCAAATACAGTTCTTGGGATGGGGAGAAATGCATGTGACAACAAATTTTATTATCTTTATGAACAAAAGCAAGGACATACAGACAGTACATTAGGAAATGCAGGATATTTTTGAGGATATATTGTACTTTTCATGAAGGAAGAGTTCAATCAGGGAAAAAAAAGTCTAAAAAGGCTCCTTGTGGGGCAACTGAAAAAAAAAGGCTGGGAAGATTACAGTAGGCAATATATGTAAAAGCATTTAACGATATGCCTGGCACATTGTATTCATTGTTAGTTAAAAGGAGGTGTTTTCACTAAATGAAGAAAAAAGCAATGATTCCAAGTCTATCTAGAAAAGCCAATTGGAAGTCTTACAAGCTAAATTTGGATTTCAAAAGGGAATTCTGTGTTCTTAATACATAGTGACTTACGTGGAAGTGCAACAACTGATATGCAAGGAGTAGAATCATCAATACTCTGATCATCCTCAGAGGACAAACAAAGTCTTTTATGTGGAGGTTCAATACTATCTTCTGAGTCTATTTCATCCGCTTCTAATGGAAGAAAACAAACAAAAATCTCAAAAAATTCAAACCAATGAGGAAAAACAAAATCTCTAATAATGAGTCTACAACAATTTTCTTATCCATTAAAACAATCTTCTTACCAATTTGCTCATTTAACTAAACCTAGTTGTGCAAATAGGATTCAAAAGGATCCTGCCTTTCTATGCCTATTGGAGTATTCAACTTCTGAAGGTTTCCTGTAAAAGGTGTCTTAAACTTAAAAGAGAAGGGAAGCCCAGGAAAAACTGCTGTCTCTTGGCAGTAGAAGCAATATGTGCAGTGGCACGGAGGTATGAGAAGCTTAAGGTATGTTCGGAAAATGTGATCTGCTGGTACACAGGTATATGAAATATGGCAGGAGGTGAGACTATGAGGAAAGCAGAAATGACTGGAGACCTATTGGCCAAATTAAAGAATCTGTACTATATTCTAAAAACCTCGGGAAGCTTTATGCTAATAACATATCATGAATAACTTCATCAGCAGCTTGAGAGATGAATTATAGGTAGGAGAATGGTTAAAAGGCTATTAGAGTACCTGGATGAGAAATGAGAATCTAAACTAACAAAGGAGGGCTTGAAACAGAGAGGATGCAATAGATTTTAAAAACATAATACTATCAACAAGTCTTCAAATGAAATTATGCAGGTGATGAGAGAAATGATTTATTCGCAACCACATTCATGATCTGCATACTAAGTAATGAAATTCACAGAGAAAGGAAAAAAAGAGAACTAGGTTTAGGAAGTAAGTACAAGGAAGGATTGTTTGGGACATATGAAACTTAAGGTGCCTATGAGAAGCACAGAGAAATCTGTATAAAGACAGAGTCTGAGTCATCTTTATAGGTAGGTGCTAGTTAAAATCATAAGTTTGAATTAAATAACCTATGAATTATGAGTAGAGTGAAAAGAGGAGACAGAACCAAGACTGAGTAAAGATGAACGTAAAAGCACAATAAGTAAATGGCATAAATAAACAGCAAGCAGAGGAGTAACAACAAAGTTATCAGCTGGAAGGCTACTGAATCTTAATTCATTGGAGATCATCAGGTTAAGTCATATTCAAATGACTGTGTACAATTCTTTAACATGGGTTCTAACAAAAGAATCTATTTGCATTGAGGGCTAATTTGACATTTTTGAATGTATTAAATCAGGCGTCCCCAAACAACAGCCCGCGGGCAGCCCCTGAGGCCATTTATCCGGCCCCTCCCCACTGCCACCGGCCGCAATTCGGTAAGGGGCACCTCTTTCACTGGTGGTCAGTGAGAGGAGCACAGTATATGGTGGCCCTCCAACAGTCTGAGGGACAGTGAACTGGCCCTCTGTGTAAAAAGTTTGGGGACGCCTGTATTAAATATACTGCTGGCACCAATTAGTATTAAAAAAAGAGGTATATATTATAGTTATTCCCTCATTATCTCTGGGAGCTCAACAGATCTTATTTACAATATAGCAACAAGATTGACAAAGGCTAACACTTTCAACTGAAAGAGATAATCTCATTTTCTACTGTGTAGCCTATACTCATTTGGGCAATAGGGGTCAAAAGTGACATGGAATTCAGAAATTTTGCAAAGAGTCAGAATTATATTATCAGCAAGTTCTCCTACCATTCTGAGGGCAGTGAAGAATGAGGTTCCCTTCTGTGTCCTGAGTCAAAGTCACAGAGTTCACAGTTTCTACTGTTACTGTGTCAGAATCCTCTTCCACTGTGCTCATACTCAAATCTGTGCAAGAACAGACTCCAGATTAGGATTTCAAAAATTATTCATAGATGTGAATATGAAGTATTCCCCTTAATATCCCCTGAAATACCACACACATTTATTTGGGTATCTGCCTATAGTGTTCTTCATGTAAAATTGCAATGAGAGTTCAGATTTCAAAAACTGCCTTTCATAAATTTATACCCATTATTTAGAGTAAGATAATCTGTAAGAATCTGATGGCTCTGATAAATTTTAAAAACCTACAACATTTATAATACTTTAAGAAAGATTTTTGCAACATCCAAAAGACTGTCGTATCGACAAAACTCTCACCACTTTTTGATTGTGTCTTTATGAACAGCTTTGCAGGTACTTAACTTGGATTCATCAAAAATTTTACCTTGATTTAATAATTATTTTTCCAAAACATTTTTACAGGTATTTAAGCTCTATTATCTGAAAAGTAGGAACACTAAATAATTCTTGCTGTGTTCTTAATATTGAACAAGTGCATATATCCATCATTGACCAAACTGCAATTTTAAGAGATGAGTTAGGCCTTCTTTTTAAACAGGTACTTGCATTGTTCAAAGTATCCTTACCTGCTATTTTACACAAATATTATTTTCCTCTTGTTCAGACAGACAGAATAATCAGTCTCAGAATATAATACCTCATCACTGGTGGGCAGGCAGGGGGAGGTATGGAACTGTAATCAATGGCCTGAAACACCTTGTAAGGTTTAAGGACGTTCTTGCCTCAATACTCACTTTTGGTTTTATCCACACGTTTTACCAACTAAATAACTCAGAGGACAGAAACCCTGATATAATTTCTCAATGTTTATTAAACTTTTGTTTTAGAGAAGGGGTCTTGCATTGTTGCCCAGGCTGGAGTGCAGAACCTGCGTTCAAGTGATATTCCTGTCTTAGTCACCCAAGTAGCTGGGTACAGGTGTGTGCCAACATGCCTTGTTCTCTCTGTTCCTATACACAAGATGTTAGTCCATATATTTACCATTGAAGTGAATGCATTTTCCTTGGCATAAAAAATATATTAACCTGACTATATTAACAATTACATGGGGAAGATCCAATAATTCATTAAAATTTTACTATACAAATTACTATTTGAAAAGGACATTATTCATTTTACGATGGTAATTATGCCATTCACAAAATAAAGGTAAATGGAAATCATGATCTAGTTTTGATAGATTTGCAAATCATGTGAGGTCTTTGCAACAAAGACAGACTTACCTAGACAACAGATGGATCAGCTACAGCCCTTCCCACAGAATCAAGGTGCCTTCCCTTAGCCAGCAGCATCACTTTCATGTTATCCAGATTGTTTCTCCCCCATGTTCCTATCTCTGCAATGCTCTGAAAAAGTAACAGCATTACACACAGTAAGACTTAATAAGAAAAAACGAGTAGGACAGAAGTATGCTGATGACAGTCTAGCCTCAAGCCTCTGTGCTATCTCAACTAGAAGAGTAAGACAAAACTAGAATTCCTTTTTAAGTAGAACTTTGGGAAATTAGCCTCTAAAAGTGTTTCCCCATGAAGAAAGGACAGAAATGATGAATAAATATTAACAGGTAGTTTCTTAATCCACGTGGCTCTCATCAGGCAAACATTCTCTGGAAAAGCAAAACAAAACAAAACAAAACAAACAGGTTCAGCTATGCTAGTGGTTCTATGAACTACAGACCGTGGTACCATTATGTAACACGATGTGTATATCAACTGATATAGTATGATAAATATTACTAGTAACTATAGTTTTTCTTTATAATTATTGTTTTATCTTAAAGCATTAAAAATTATGTAATACCCTATTCATTCAGAAAGCACTTTTAAGATGACAGGTGAACAACCCTATCTAGTAATCTGTGGGGAAAAAAAAAGAAACCTTAAACAATTAGGCCAGAAAAAGCAAATTACAAGTAAGCTCTTGAAAGCAATGTGAAACTTTATAAAATATGAAATGGTTTTCAAAAGTTTCTTTCAATAAGTTTCTCATCTTTATCCTCAAAGGCCAACCAAAGAGGAAAAAAACAAAACAAAACAGTATTTGAGGTTCAAGGGGATGTTTCAGCAAAACTACGGATTAAAATTTTAATTTTTGCTGCATTCTAATTAGGTCCTCTTTGCATTTTCAGTGGAAAAGGTACAGATCCTGCTGGAGAAACTTCATAACCTATTAGATTTCATATTTCATGTCATCATTTCTGAATCCATTAATTTTCAAAAGACTGGCTTGTTAGCAATACCTGTTGCAAAAGATGGGGAAAAGAAATGTAAAAAAGTTAAAAAAAAAAAAAGGTCAAAATCATCCATAAACTTTCCAAAAAATGATTTTTCATACTCTTTGGTGTAGTTCCTTCCAATCTCATTCCCCAATGTATGTGTCTGTGACTACAGTGTATCTTGCAATTTTATATCCTGCTTTTTAGAATTTGCTCAGATTGAAAAGTGTGAAGGAAACAAAGGGAGGCACCTAACACAAGTTTTTATTACTTGAAACTTATGCTGCACCAGGTGTGGTGGCTCACGCTTGTAATCCCAGCACTTTGGAAGGATGATCGCTTGAGCTCAGGAGTTTGAGAACAGCCTGAGAGAGTGACATCTAGTCTCCACAAAAAAACTAAAAAATTAGCCTTGTGTGGTGGTTTATGCCTGTAATCTCAGCTACTCAGGAGGCTACAGTAGGAGGATGTCTGCAGCCCAGGAAATCAAGATTGCAGTCTGAGTGACAGCAACAACCTGTCTCAAAAATTAAAACAACAAAAAAATAAAATTTATGCTGCAATAAAAAATGTGACATCATTCAATAGTTGTCCTATTACTGAACATTTATGTTGTTCCCAATTTTTAATCTCCTAAACCATACTGAAAAACATATTTTTACACTCTATTTCCTTGAAAATTAATAAATAAAAATCATTAGATCAAAGGAAATGACAAAATTTAGAATTCTTCAATCATACTGCAATTTATTTTCCCAAAAAGTTGCACAAATTTATATCCCAATCATTGAAATCTAAACTCTACTCTTGGTAATCTTGCCAATAGTTGTTTTTTTTTTTAACTTCAAAGCAAAAGCAGAAGCTTATTTGATAGGTGCAAAATGGTCACAGGTTTAGCATTTGAATGAAAATCGTTTAAAGACCCAAATTAATCCAAAACTTTGGGAAAAAGAACCAGAATCCTGGCTCCTTTTTTAAAGTTCTGCAACTCCTTTTAGGGATTAGTGAATGGTTCTATGCTACTTTGTAAATTAACAAGCTTATTTGTTCAATCAACAAATATATCCAAATACATTACATCTCTACTACATGCAGGTATTGGGGATACAGTAGCTTTTTTTTTTTTGCTTTGGAGACAGATCTCACTCTTGTCACCCATGCTGGAGTGCAGTGCCACCATCTCAGCGTACTGCACTCTGCCTCTGGGGTTCAAGCAATTATTCTACCTGAGCCTCCCAAGTAGCTGTGACTACAGGTGCATGCCATCCACCCGGCTTTTTGGTATTTTTTAGTAGAGACAGGGTTTCACCACGTTTGCCAGGCTGGTCTCAAACTTCTGACCTCAGGTGATCCGCCTGCCTTGGCCTCCCAAAGTGCTGGGATTACAGGCATGAGCCACTGAGTCCATTCCCCTGTCATCTTAAACATGTTCTTGACTCACTACTTTTCCTCTTTAGTCCGAGCAATATGGCCAGTACATTTATTAATATTTGAGAAATTGACCTAGTTTCACTTTTAATGTGTAATACATTTACATGGTTAAAAATTCAAAGGTAATTTTTATTAATACTAATATAAGGTATCCAAATGAAGATGTCAATCTGATAAAAACAAAAACTAGAGTTCAACAGGCCAGCGTTAAACCTATAAATGTGAGTTAGTGGCATGCACATTGTCTTCAAAGATTTCTTAAAGAGGTTAGAGAAGACACCCTAGAACACTCCACTACATGTGGGAAGTCAAGCAAAGAAGAATGAGAAGGACCAGCTAGAGATGCAAGAGAAAAACTAAGAGGTGTTAACTAAGAAGCACAAGTGTTTTTTCAATGAGCATTAAGTAGCCAACTGTATTGAAAACTGCTAAGGATAAGATGATTGAGAAATGACTATGTAATCTGGCAATATGGAGAACAATTGGTGCCTTTAACAAAAGTAGTTTGGTGGGAGTGGTAGCGGCAGAAGCCTTACGGAAATATGTACAAAATTAGAAGTAGGAAAGAAAAGACAAACTACAAATCCTTTCAGTAGGTTTAGCTTTCAAATTAGAACAAAAGGATCAAGTGCAGTCAAGACAGTTGTTACAAAGAATACATATGTATTCTGATGTTGGACAGAAATATTGGTGAATAAATCAAATTGTGATAGTAGGGTAAAAAGCTTAGTAATTTAGTGCCTTTATTCTAATTCATTATTCCTCAATCTATGCTTAACAACTTCTGGAATCCCTCCCCATTTGGTTTATCAGGAAAATCGCCAACTCTACTATCACGTTTTTGGTCCTTTTTGGAGCAGAAGAGTCATGTACCATATAATATTTCAGTCAAGAGTGGAGTGCATATATAGTAAATCTGTAAGAGTATACCACCATATTTTTACTGCAAATTTCTATATTTGGATATGTTTAGATACACAAATACTTGCCATGTGTTAAAATTGTATTGTATTCAGTACAGTAACATGCTGTACATGTTTGTATTTTTTATGATGCTCACAAGAAATAACACAAAATGCATTTCTGAGAACCGTCATTAAGCAACACGACTGCACATCATCAGCTTTTCAATTTTCCTTTCTTTGTAATGGGTTATACCATATGTACTATTTTTAAACTAAAAATGAGAAGACAGCATGGAAGAAAAATAAACACAATTTTAACAGCCATTTTAACTAAAGTGACCTTTTGGCATGTTTCCATCATTTGCTGAGTATCTTTAAATAGCCCGATACCTTAGTAAATTCAAGAAAAAAATATCTGAGGGTAACAGCAAATCCAAATGCAGTTAGGAAGACCATGGACAATCTGCTTGAGATTTCAAGAATTTTGAATACTTAGATATGGACATTTTGCCTATTGGTATACAGTTTTATAAAAAAGGAATTAACTCAGCTTTATCATCAGTTATTAGAAAGCTGTGCAAGGAATTAGTTTTATCCATAGCTTTATCAGTGGGGAGTGGCTTACAGAAAGAACTATCAGATGTGTTTATATAATTTTAACAGCCCTAATGCTTTGGCACTGCTGTTATTTATGCACACTGTATTTATAGCTTTGATAACTTTAATTTTCTATATAGTCTATCATGTGTCTATCTGACAAACGTTGTTATATGCCTTGTTGACACTTTCATTATAAATTTCGGTAATTTTGATTTATGCATAACTATGGAATTTGTTACACTGGGCTGAAAGTTGAAAAGACTTTGGCCACCATTTGTAAATTTTCATTCAGATTCATTATACATCTCAGAATCTTAAAAGAACAGTGGAAACATTTCTTGTAATCTGCTGTTTAACATAGTTTTTAAAAGGTTGCCAGGCAGTTAACAGTGTGAACCAGATCACTTTTATAGACTGGTGAAGCATGTTTTCTGAGACCTAAAAAATAATGTATAAAATGAAATAGTGAATATGCAAAATTCCAGTTAACTTTTATTATATGAAAGTAATTTAAATGTGTGCCTAATAAATTTTGAGTGGTTATCTGATAAATCACTAGAGAGGTGGTACGTTTCAAGTTATTTAATGCTTTATTAAGAAATAATTATTTTTGGTCATTAAAACCTAATCATATGTTCTATAACAAGAATTATTGCTTGCTAAAATTCTTTTAACTCTTAAAGCTTTAACTCATTGATGACTCAAACAAATTTTAGAAAACTTAGTATTCTGTTCCTGTAACAATCTCAATGTGTTTTTTAGCAAGACTAAAATGTATTTGATCTGTTCCTTAAATCCAGATTTTGTTAGATGTCATTTAAATAATGGTACACGATTCACTCCTTAGCAGGATTTTGTTTTTCAGAAAAGCTAAAGTGGTTTTAATAAGACTGAGTAATATTTATATTACTTTTTAGAATTTTTTTTTTTTTTGGAGACAGTGTCCTGCTCTTGTCACCCAGGCTTAAGTCCAGTGGCATGATCTCAGCTCACTGCAACCTCTGCCCCCCAGGTTCAAGCGATTCTCCTGTCTGGGCCTCCTGAGTAGCAGAGATTACAGGCACCTGCCACCACACTCATCTAATATTTGTACTTTTAGTAGAGATGGGGGTTTCACCATGTTGGCCGGGCTGGTCTCAAACTCCTGACCTCAGGTGATCTGCCTGCCTCGCCCTCCAAAAATGCTGGGATTACAGGCCTGAGCCACCACACCCAGTCACTTTTTATTATTCTTTTAATCATTTTGATTTTTTAAACATGTGGCATACACTATTTACCAGGTACACTGTAAGGGTTACTATTGATAGAACAGGTTGGGCTACAGTAAGGACTTGGGATATGTAACTTCATTAATAATCACTACAAATGCTGCATGTTTTAATTTATATTAACATAGAGAACACCTTCTCCCAAACACCAAAACTTGTATATACTTCTGGGCCATGAAAGTTGACAGTTTTATTTATGACTATTTACATTGTTATTTATGCATGAAGCAAAGCAGGAAAATACACGGAGAATTATGTTTACAGAGGACTTTAATGCATCGTATTTCTTGAACATAAACATACTTTTATTATACTTAGTATTTTAAAAACCAAACAAAACAATTATACAATTGCAGGTTTGTACATGTTGTCAACTGCAAAAAAAACCATTCCAGTGGCTTAAAAAAAAGAACACAAACCACACAACCTTAAGTGTGGTACAAAACTCTAATAATGGAGTTACTGTATCTTTATTACCATATAATCTCACATTAAAGCTCCCAATGAAAAAGATGACCTTATTTAATATACTATAAACTGGAAGGACAAAAAGGGATAAGCATAAAGAAATAACTCTTGGATCTGTTATTTAACACAGAATTCAATTAAAGAAATGAGTCATTCATGCTATTCTTCCTTTAGTATTGATGTAAGTTCCTTTTTTTCTCTTTTTTTAAATTTTATTTTTTTTAATGTAAAGTTCTTATCCAATGGGTTATCTCAGAGTGGTATTTCCATCAATTGAGTCTACTTATTGTCCTGATTTTTCTGGGCATTTAAGTGTTGAATATCTTCTAAAAACCAGAATCAAGGAATGAAGTGACCTTTGTTCCCAGTTTTGGGGGCTAATGCTATAAACAGATGTATACCCATTTCCAAGTACAGTACACTCGTACAAGTATGGAAGAGTTTAGACGCTATTAGTGGCAATCATGAGAAGCACAGGAACTAACATTTGCTGACCCTAGATGCTTGGAGCTGTGATTCTAAAATGGAACATGGGATGAGTCCACATGATACCAAAACATTCCCTATTTTCATATACTCACTTTATAATGTGAAATCTTTGCAAGCTACAGAACATATAGCACCACAATTTTATTAGGTGGGTGAAAGACTGAGAAACAACTGGGTGAGAAACAAGTCTCTGGCATAATTCAACTATTAAGGCAGCAAGGACACAGTTTTCAGAGGTCTTTTTTCCCTGACCCATTCATATTCTTTCTGTGTGACTGCATGGCTTCTAGCCATGTATCAGCATGCCTATCTTTACTGTTTTCACAATATTAAGATCATACTGTCACATCTTTTTTTTACTTACTGTATCTGGAGCATTTTCCAGTATTACTACTCTACATTTTGAATAGGTGCATAGATCTAAATTTATCTAATCTGTACCTATTACTCAACATTTGTTTTTGAGGCTATGTTATTATAAAACTCCAAAAGAACCACTGTATAACTTAATGTATACTTAATGCCTTAAAAAAATACTTAGAAGAGTATTGCATAGTAACATATAAGGAATTTGGAAGGTATTTTTGTTCTGAAATAACGAGACTTTGCTAAGTAGAAAACCTAAGTGGAAGGTAATAGGTAACAAATCCATACATCCTAAACATGGGTACCCACAGGGCTGTCAGACAACATGTAAGGTCACAGAATAAGCCTAACATCTTCCAAAGTACCAATTCTACTCGAGATCGGAATGGGAACGCTACATACTTGAGGAAGATTGTTTTGTGCTATAGTGCCAAGCCCCTTGGGATTTCTTCCTCTATGTACTTTATGGAAAAGTCTGAGAAGCAGAACCATAAATGAACATAAGGCATATTCAATTAAGGTACCTAATTAATGTTTACTATGGCTTGGTTTTAAGATAGCAAAATATGACTATATATCATAAAAATGTCAATAGAGCTGTTAGTGGAATCTATTCTATTCTAGCAAGCTTTAATGCTTAAAATGTTGATTTCAATTACCAACTATTGAAAACAATGTCATTATTACTTGAACAAGGAGAATTACTTGATAGCATGGATTTTAAGGTGCAGCATTTCATATCTGGTTCGACAATAAAATTGTATTGCTTATTAAAAAGCAACAAAATTATCTTTCACCCTATGTATGGTTTAAGAGCTAATAATGTGTTATTGGCTACACTTTAAAGATTTCATCCATTCAAAACTGAGCACTTTCATACAAGGCACCATCAGAAGCTTACACAGTATCATCAGACACCTGTGATTTACGGTGTATTTTTTTTTTTTAAGTTTTAATGCACATTTCCTCATTAGATACTAATATATACACAGGCAGTAAAATAAACCTAATGAACATTTCTGATGCATAACACCTGATGGGAAGTGAATGAATTAGCTTTGACCACTGGTGACTGAAGAAAGACCTAACAGTGTACATTTAATGACACTAAAAATGACATTTAAATATATAGGATGATAGAAAATTAAACTGTGTATAATGAGCTCTCCAGTGTGCTTTTTCCTGACAACTTATTTCTAGTATTCAATCATGAAATGCACGATCTTTCTACAAACTTGGTGGGGAGGAGAAAATGTGATAAACAGGTTCCTCCTTTAAACTTACCTTGATAGAATCAAAGCAAACACAAAATCTGTTTGTGATTTCTATTACAGAAATTTTCTTCACAAAATGAAAGCATCATCAAGATAAATGGAGAAATGACATGAAAGCAAATAAATGTCACATTTGGCAACTATGTTTTATCCTTAACACTTGGCAATTACTTTAATAAAAATCACTTAGTTTACAACTTCTTGGATCATCTTGTATCATTTAGAGGTATAAAAATCTTTTGGAGCTGAAACTGCAAAGGATTTAAAAGTATATCAGTTCTTGGGAAATCCTTTCATATAGGAAACATATGATGGTAGTGAGAATAAAATGGACTATGAAAATGGAAACTCCATTTTGGAAAGGCATAACAACACCTCAGTGTTAAATATGCAGTCTCTACAAATGACATAAAAAAACCAGAATGAACCCTTCCTAAACTTTGTTCCTTACTAAACTTTTGATGTTTTTGCAACAGACAGGTATGTGTTTAATACAAGTGATGCAAGACGTCAATACACTTCTAAGCTCCCTCAATATTTTAACATCTATGTGCCAGGCAGTAAATCCTTAGGGAACACTTGTTCACATCAGCTCATTCATCCTCACAGGTGTTAATTTAAGCCAATGCACTTAATGAAGCATGGCAAAAGCAACTGTTTAAAATAACGAGATGTTATTTTCAGGGCATGTAAGTTTATTACACTATTAATAAAAATTAGGGTCTGTAGATGTTGGAGAGATAAATGAGGCTAATAGGTAAGATATTTTTGCAAAGAAGGTGAAGACAAGCTTTTCATTGCTATTTAAATACTAAGTAGTGATATCAAACTAACCTTATAAAATACATACACTATCTCTCCACCTTTAAAGCACCCCTTGAGTGTAATGAGATAACTGAAGCACTGAAAAAAGAGATCTTTAAAAAAAAGGGCTACAGGACAGCTACCTACTTTTGATATGATTCTTTACTAGTAAACATTTCCCAGCTATACTCTGTTTTCAAAGCTCAAGTCATACCCCCAAACTTTGATTTCTTCCCCTCAAAATACTTGTAACACCTGAACACTCAAAGAAAAAGTTTTATATAATGTATTCATATATAACTGCAAAGTATGAACTTAAAGTTCTAAGAAAGATGCAATGCCCAGTACTTACTGGTTAAATGTTGATGAAGACAGGGCAATAGCATTTTGGCTCCACCATTAGCTCAACTGTAATCAATAAAGAGATTCACGCAGAATATGCGGTGCTAAATCAGTCCCAAAAAGCATATTTGGGGTGAGCCTATCAACTAAAATAGTAAGAAAAAAAATTAGCTTGTTTGGTGGCATATAGAAGCACCTAGTATTGGGAGTTAAAATGAGACAAAAATCACCACAAATCATGAAATATATTTTTCATACCTACAACATAATGGTTTTTTCCACACAGAATGAGGCTGGCTTTTGTGCTTTGTGTATGGAAGAAAAAAACTATTCCCACACCAAATTGGATTCTCTCAGTAAGATAACTTTTGCATGTTAAGAAATGTAGTTTTAACCTTTTTTCTCTAAATCCTAACAAGATTTGTAAATCTTTACCAAATACATGAAATCTTGTTTCTACTACAACATAAGAGAAAAAGATAAGATTTTGTTGTATCGTCATAGTCATTCTTTAAATGTAGAAAGTGATAGTAAATTATCTAATTTGTTAAAATACAATAATCCTCAGAAAGTTACTTGAAATACAAATTTAAAACCAGCCTAAAAAAATTTGAAGTAATGAAAAAATATGAAAACCCTTAAGAAATACCAGTAAGACAGCCTGTAAAACAAACAAAAAAGCAACAACAACAAAAGAAAACCCTTAACTGAAAAAGAAAAACGGATTTTGTAAAACTTTCAACATAGGGGAAGAATATTTTCGTATTTGGACTGGAGCTTAAAAGCTACAAATGGTTTTCTCTTACGATTTAAAAACACAGGTATAACTAATTTAAAATATTCCAAATGGCACAATTTTAAGCTCAAGACATGTAATATTAAAAGATTCTGCAAAATATGCATTTTGTAGGACGTCCCAACAAGCAGCCTCGCCTGTCAGAAAGGAGGCACACAAACAAAAATCAAATCTATGTACATTAAAAAGAGGTACACAAAAATGAATGGAGTTGCGAAAAAAGCTACTACGCAAATTCAATGAGAGAAAGGGAGGAGTCCTGACTGATACGATTACCCCTTTTCTTATCGACGCCGAATATTTTTATATAAAAACATATGCTCTATCATTCAACTGCACAGAAGGGCACTTGGCCACTTCTACTCTCAAATCTACTCTGGAGATTGTGGTAAAACAATTTACATACCTCCCTGAAGAAATTCTCAAAGCGAAGTCCATTTTAGAGGACAAAGTGGATTTAACAATTTTAAGAACTTTCTGGGATATCGGCACAATAAGCCAATTACTCTTTACAGACGCATTTTCCGCGCTCCACCAGGACTCTGTCCGGGCGCCCCAGCCCACATCCCTTCTTTAAAGAGACTCAGACTGACAGAGGCGGTTCGGCCAGCTATCCCGATTCTCTCTGCCTAAGCCGTGAATCGCCAAGCAAGGCTGAATCCCCGCAAAATTAAAGAAGAATCTAAAGCGCAAACAAGGTAAAAGAACAACAACAAAAAAGCAAAGCGGGGGAAGTTGGGTCGAGACCCGCCCCCACTCTCTCAACCCCACCCAAGCCTACCTCTCTCCAACGCTGCACCACACAACAAAACCGAAAAACGTAATAAAAATAAAAATTAAATAAGGAATACCACGAGAAAGCAAATAGGGCTTCCTTGCTGTCCCCACTCCCTGTGGCCCAGTTCTCTACCCAACCTCCCGGCCCACCCCACCCCCCCAGGGGTCCCGGCGCCATTTAGCTCCTCCGAAGCCGCCATTTTCCGCCCCCGTCGGATCGCTGCTGTGCCTCTGCGGCCGCTCGCTTCCCTACTCTGCAGCCTGAGCCACGGGCGCCGCCCGGCCTTGAGAGGGAGGCACTGGCCGGAACGTGCGGGGACGGCAGCTGCAACGTCAGGAAGGCCAGACTCCGACCCCGCCCGCGGTGCCAGGGCGCCGGCAGCCTGCGCCAGCCGGCGGGAGCTAGCGGGCAGAAAGGGGGCCGGACAGGCTCCACTGGGCGGAGCGGCCCTGGCGGCGGTTGGGACCTGAAGGTTCCATCGCACTTACTTCCTGTTTTGGGTCCGGGCACTTTGGAAGAACCAGGATGGAGGCTCCAAAAAATACCAGGATGGAGGAAGCAGCCACGGGCGAGAGTGGCTGCAGCTGGAGTGAGCGAGTGCGACGAGCCACCGGAAACGGAGCTGCGGCCGCGCCCCGCCCCCAGCTCCCCGCACGCTGCCCCTCCCGTTCGTGTGTCCCGCGGGTGGCCCCGCGCGCTGGCTGAACGCGTCACTTCCGGTTGTGTCGGCGCGCGAAAAAAGGTCTTGAAAGGTTTGGAACGTCGGTGCTCAGTGGGGATGTCTGCTGTCCTTCTCTCTTTCTGCTAGGAAATCTCTGCACTGACTATACCACTGCTGATGCTGTAAAAGAGGTCCTTCTGCTTTGACGCAACTGTCGTTCCTCTGGTTCTGGGGACACTTAGTCCCCGCGGGCCGATTTTCATAGTTCCCCTGTGGCTCCGAGCCGAGGGAGCCGCGCTGTGGAATGGAAGGAACCGGTGATCTCAGTGCTGAAGAAAACAGGGAGAGTGTGTTTTTGTACTTTATTTGCCTTGCGGCAGGGGCTTAAAATGAGATGTTGTCTGGGTGTGTGAAGCAGTTGATGAAATGTGTCCTCTGTGAGGGTGATCTCACTGTTGCACTGGGAAGATGCTCTTCTGTTGTGCCCAGTTCTTAAAAATGCAGATGCTCCTTAGGTTGCAGCTGTATAAACCCATCCTAAATCGAAAATGCGTTTTAAAACCCTTATTAACGAAAAGGATAAATAAGCTTTTGGATTCAGCAGTGTGAGTCAGCATTTTTCTGAGTGTTTATGTGTCATGTGAATGTTTTACGTGTACTAAACTCATTTGGTGTTCATAAGTACATCGCTACAGTTACTAGAAATGAATCCCATTTTACACAGAAACCAAAGAGAAGTGAAGGAATGTGTCCAAAGGCTCCCAAGTAGGTGGTGGAATCAGAATTGAAGCCTCAGCTCTGGAGGCTGTGTTGTGAACTACGCGGTTGCAGCCCACAAAATACACTTTCGTTACTTTCATACGAAAACAAATGATTACAGCCAGTTTACAAATGCTTTACTTTACTGGAGGATTGAGGTGTTTGGCCAGTTTTCAAAAATAAATGTCAGAAGCAGCATTTTCTTGTGTTGATAATTTTATTACTAATTTGTGGCACTCTGCATTCTATTGGAGTTAAGCTGTATATCATTCCATTTTTTAATAAGTACATAATAATGTTTATGTAGGCCAAACTATGAGACGGAATAGTATTGTGGTATGGTCTCAGGCAGTCAAACCTGAATGTGAATATTGGCTCCATTTCTTAGTAGTGAATATGGCACTTCACCTCTTTTAGCTTCGTTTACTTTAGAAAAGTAGGAGTAGTAACATCTACCTTCCAAAATATTGTTGACAACATACTTTACCTAGAATCTGACGTGTGTTAAGCATTAAAAATGGAAACTATTAAACTCCAAAGCCAGAGAAGTCATACAACTACTGGAAGAGCAGTTATAATAAAATAATAATTACATATGAAAATTGTTGACATGAACATTGGTAAGAAGGTGATTCCTAATTAGCCACATTTTTTTCATAAAACATTACCATATAGGACTTCGTTAAGGCACAAAATAGTGATAGATAAATTATGGTCGGGCTGTGCATTCTCTTCTGCAAAATTTTAGGTCAGCCTTCATGCTGCTGTTAATTTCCTAAAAAAAAGTCAAGTGCATCCTCATAACTAAATTCACCCTTACTTGTTGACTTTCATTTGTAACTACCTTTTTCCAAGTCAGCTGGTATTTATTTGGGGATGACAAGTGTATTTTAGTATTAGCTTAATACATAACCTAAAAAATATGTTAATCATAGTAACGTCTCTCTCCCTTTAACCTGAATAGTCAAAGACTATCCATAATACAACTTGATTCCTAGAGCAATTTTCTGCAGTTCTACGTTATCTGTACCTCACTACTTAGTCAGTGTGTACTTAGGGAATGCATGAAGTTTTAAATGTTTTGTAGAAAAATCATGAGAAGTATTTCTATCCTAAACAATAATTATTAAAGTATTTATAGCATAGCTTGGTATTTACTGCATTTGCTAGTTATAATTGACTTTGTTGGACTCCAGAGGTTTTATAACACTTTCATGAACTTCATCACTGATTGAATGCTGATGAAATTGCCTTTTTTAATGGCAGGTTGATACATTAATATGAAATATTTCAAATACTGAGAAGCAGTTTCTGTTGTTTCATGATTATCATGCTAATTTATAAAAAAAGATGTTTATAAGCTTTGATTTAAAAGAAAAATACAATTACTAAGTAATTTACTTTCTACACGGTCTCTTGAGTCCTGTTAGTATAGCTGATGAGTATATACTGTAGGGCCTTCCATCTGAAGGGGATTGCTATGCTAACAGAGGAATGAACAAACTGTTCCAGTTAAGCCTACACATCAGGCTTTACCAAATAGTCTCCTGACTCACATTCTTGCTGTAGGCTTTCCTCTGGGCCTTACGACACTCCATCTTACAATCCTTTCCCCACCCTGCATTTTTCTATGTGTGTTATCTCTACAATCCTTTTAATACCTCAGCCTGGTGACCACCTCTGTATATCCACTTCACTTTTTTCTTCTTTTATGGTCAATCTTTGTTGAGGCCTATTGATGGAATATTAGCAAAAAAAAAAATGGTTGCTTACCAAGTTACGGGAATGGAGAGCTAAGGCTTTCAATATTCCTGGCCAATAAGGCTAAAAATTTTTGTTCTTTTTTTGTAATTTTGGTGTGTAAAACAAAATAAAACAGTTCAGATACTTCACTAAAATGGGAGAATATCTGGACCCAGACTCAAAGGCTTGTTCATTTATAATCTAGCATGAAAGAGAGAGGGACAATATATTAGTTAACTAAGCAATAATTGCCGTGTTTTTTAAGTTCTGAGAAAGATACCATTTGGGTGCTCTGAAAGTGAACTTTTACATAGAGACTTCAGAGTAGGCCTTTCTAGGGAGATACTTAAGCAGAAAGGTGAAAATAAACAAGCGTAGGAGGGGGTGCAGCATGGCAAGGCATTTGTCCAGCTAGTGCCTGAAAGCCTATTTAGAGAAAGCAACTGGCTTGTAAAATGTTTATAAAATGGTGAAAGCACAGCACTGCCAGGTGGTAGGCTATTCCTTGCAAAAGTTAGCTGAATTTCTCAAAAAACTTCATTGTGGTAAGAACACAATGTGACATCTGCCCTCTTAATGAAATTTTAAGTGTGCAAAACATTATTAACTATGGGTACAATGTTGCACAGCAGATCTCTAGAGCTTGTTCATCTTGCTTGAAACTTTATGCCCACTGATTACTAACTCCCCATCCCCTCTCCCTACCCCAGGTAAACCACCATTCCACTCTTTGATTCTATGAATTTGACTCTTTTAGATACTTAATATAAGTTAAATCATGTAGTATTTGTATTTCTGTGAAGTCCCCGACGTTCATCCATTTTGTTGCATATTGCAGAATTTTCTTCTTTTTTAAGACTGAGTAGTATTCCTATTTCTCCAAGACTAGAGCTCAGCGCATATCTAGACATAGCTGAAATCGGCCATCTTCCCCCTTTGCCATGAACTTTGATTTGCCAGTATATGGCGCAGTACCTTAACTTAGCAGACATTTAAATGTTTGTTGATATTAAAGATAATTGTCTTAAGCCAGAAGACCTGGAAGCTAGCCATTTCTATTCTTTGGCAAGAACAGCTAACTACCAGAGATCACAGAGTATTTTTCCAGATAGTGTTGCTACTTGGAAAATTCTGAAAGAAAACAAACAAATGTTACCTATTTTTCAAGTGGAAAGAGGTTATTTTAACACATCACACATGTGGTGTTACTCTAAACCTTACTGTGTAAGTCTTGTGCATCTAGGTGCAATATTTTAAGAATAGAAGCATGTCATTTTAGCCAGCAGATGTCCCTATTGTTCAGCCAGATTTTTTGTTCTTTCCCAAGTAGTAACTTCAACAGTAGATAGAGACTTTGGGGCCTTAATTGCTAACGATATGCTATGGCAGCCAAGGGCAAGCCTGAACAGTAATAATGCTAAAGGGATAAGGATTATACTTTGAAATCAAAATATGAGAACGCTCTCTAGCATTAAAAGACTTGTAGATTAATCCCCTTGCCCTTCTATTCACTATATTAATTCCTTTGCACAAGATATGCAGTGAAAGAGAAAGAAACAAGGAACTCCTATGTTTATAACTTTCAGGAATTTGCACATTGGTGATACACTCATTCATTTCATTCAGCAGATCTTCCTGAGTACCTACTTTGGGTTGAGCATTATTTTAGGCACATGAAATATGGAGAACAAGATAGACAAGATCCCTGCTCTCAAGGAGCACATTTTCTAATGGAGGAGCTTAATTATAGTGGTATAGTGTATCTTTGTGCCAAACTTTTTTGGGTAAATTACTCACTAAATTACTGGCAACTGCCTATGAAACTTGCTCATAATTAACAACTTAATGAGGGATAAAGGGAAAATATGAATCAAATTGATAGCAGCAGGAGACAGACCAATTCCTAGGCAGATGAGATAGGTCCTGGTGAAACCTGACCTTCAAGCCTGAAGCCTTAAAACGAGGCCGCCAGTTTCAAATAGAATCCAGTACCTGGAGTGAGAACGTCCTTGAAGCCTTTCAACCAATCAAATGATGCTTTTTCCAGGCCCACTGATTGACCAGTCAGCACATACTTCCTCCCACCCATGGACAAGTTAACGCATACATCCTGAGCCCATAAAATCCCTGGACTTATCCACAAGTCAGACTACCTCCCTGCAGATAGGAGCTATGCACTTTGAGTCTCCTCTCTGCCTAGAGCTGTTCTGTTACTCAGTGAAACTCTTCTCTACCTTGCTCACCCTCTGATTATCCACATAACCTCATGTTTCCTGGACACAGGACAAGAACTCAGGACCTCTGAATGGAGGGCA